GGTGCACAAACTTTTTGTCTTTGGGGCTAAAGTGTGACAGTTGTGGTGGGTTGAAGGCTAAAAAGGCAAACCAATGTACAAATTAAGGTCAGTAGGCTTCAAATGAAGTTTTTAAAAAATATAGTTTAATAAAATTTGACTAATTTGACACTAAAATACAATTGAATAAGTTTAATAAGTTATACAGTGGAGTCTAAAAGTCACAATCTGGGAATAAACAACAATCTGGAAATAAGTCCAACAAATGTATCCCTTCCATTAAAGCTCATGTTCAAGGCAAGTTAATTTACAGTCGCATGTAAAAACAGCCCTGGTTAGATGACTTGTTTTGTTGATTTTCTAAATAAAAATAAGTGAACACATCCTTCACAGAACACACTTAAATATGGCATTTTTCACAACATTTAATAATTTTTCATAACATCTAATATTTCTCATGCTGGGATTATTGTACGCTTATTATAAGATTGCTTTACTGATTTCCATTTGTTTTAAGTGATTTTAGTATGTCATAGTGTCTCACTATATATTTTGTTATTTTATTTATTATAAGAAAAGTGCTTGAAACAAGTCAAATTATCCACCAATATAGTGAGATACTATGACTTACTAAAATCACTTAAAACAAGTAAAATGTCTAGAAATAAGTTAAATAATCTTATAATAAGCACAATAATCCCAGCATGAGAAATATTAGATATAATGACTAGATTTAAGATCATTTCACTTGACAAGATACCATTTTTTGCAGTGTACGACTGTGTTTCATTCACAAAGGCATTTCAAAGTGCTTTATGTAAAATAAAAGTAGAAAAGAAGTAAAATAAAAACAGAAACACAAGGAATTACAAACAACAGTGAAAACAAAATGAAATTGAAATAATTTAAAACAGAATAAATTTAACTCAATTCAGACAGCTCTCAGGTGGATTTGATCTACTCATCTGAGGCTTTTGCACAAACTTGTGGAGTCCAGCTCGAGTGCACGCTGTCATTAAAGCAAAAAAGGGGCATACCACCAAATTCTGAAATTCATTTAAATATTTGAAAGATTCCACTTTAGTAATGAATAGCTTTGTATTAAATTAGAAAGAATTCAAAGCAGAAGCATTTTCACCAGCGCCCTCAGATGGGCCAAGTCAAACATCCTGAAGGCGCAACTTTGGCTGTACTGCATGTGGAGCAGACCCAGTGGTGGTCAGTGTGATTCAGGTCTGTCAGTGTTGTGCAGTATGTAGAGCAGCGCTGGTTTCTGAGTGCTGTGAGTTAGAAAATCTGCTTCCTGTCCGTGTGGCCCCGGAGCGGCGGCTCTGTTTGAAGAACGGTGGGGCAAAAGTGTTTGCGGGTGGGGCAGGAGCGTTCGGGTGGAGCGCGGGGTCCGGTTAGGGGCAGTGCGGGGCTATCCTGTCACCCTCAACACTGTCATCTCAGTCACTTCCTGCACTTCCTGTTTGGCACATTTCTAGTTTAAACACGGCCTTCCTGCCCATGTCCGGCCCACGCAGGGACCCAGCTATACGCAAAACATGCTCTTCTGCCCACAAGCTCTGATTAATGCCCAGTAGTCCAATATCACTTTACACGGATCATGACTTTGCCTATGAGTCCAGAGAAGACCTGCTAGATTATACACTGAAGGCCATTACAGGGTGTGGTTCTCCACCATAGACAGTGTTCAGAGCAGCGTTCAGACGTACAACACCCATATAAAAGTGCAACTGCAGCACACGCTGTTCCTTCTTGTGGAAACCACGTCCCTTTGTTGTGTTTTTATGGATTTCTCTGTTGTCCTGCTGCGTCTGCACTGTGAGAACTGCTCTGAGTGAGTCATCGCCTCTTCCTCTTCAGCCGATCCCTCTGCCAACTCTCTGAGAGGTTGCGGCCCACACGGGCTAGTGCAGGTCCCCGGGGCCCACCGGGCAGGTGGGGAGGGCCCAACACGAGAAAGTGGAGCGTGGCCCACTTCCTGCCTGCACTCGTTCAAATCAGGATCCCTCTGTTCGAGGAGGCTGTTTCACTCCTCCCTCAGCCTTTTTGTTTTGTAGATTCACATAAAAATCCCCCTCATCCCAAACATCCGCAGCGCTGGTGGGCCGCATGCTCAAAGCAACAGCTGGGTTAAAGGGGAATTCAATAGCTGAGATGTAAACAAAGTCAGTCAGAGTGGTTTGATGTGAAATGCTTATCGTAGAGAAACTTACTGACTCAGATTTCTTTACAGTGGTGGTCATAGGAACCAGGAGACACAATATATACAATATAGGCTTTTTATTTAGCACCCAAAATGACCAGTGAACCTACACGTGTCTTCTGAGGCTTTATATAAAATAGTGCCAAATCTGACAAAACATGTTTTGTTTGGGGACTATTTTGCTCTACAATGCCCTGCATGTCCCTCTCCACCATGACTGTATTTAAAAACTGATGTTTTAGGCCAAACACTTTCCTCAGAAAACAATGTCTCAGTCGTCAGGCATTGTATTCAGAACATTTTCTGCAATATCATGATGTGAGGCAGCTTTTAAAGGCTTTAAATGCTCTTCTGTTTGTTATCACCAACCACTGTGAACAGTTCTGACTTGGAAAGTTACTCTAGACCAAGTTACTCTACATCTTGACAATATAATTACGCAGAGATTTTGAAAAAAAGGTGGAATTCCCTGTTAAATTCAAATTTACCCCATAACTCAGTAATTGATACCTATCATACAGTGTATGATGATACAGGCCATGCGGTCTGCACAGTGCTAACTGGTGGGGAATCAGCTTTAATTGCTTGTTAGCTACATTCACCTCATAGTCCAGTACAAAACTGAAGCAGCAGATTTCAGGCATGTCCTGTCTGATCTACTACACTTGAATTAAAGGGGAAACTGCCACACTTTCACTTTAAAGCTACAGTTTGAGTTTAAGGGTTTGTTTTTTAAGTTTTTTAAGTTAACCTCAACTAAATAGCAAATCGTTGTTGTCTGAAGAAAACCTCCTATCTCCAAAATGGTAACTTTACAGGAGAAGGAAAAACCTACTTTACTTTTAATGTAAGTCAATGGAACCAGACATTTTTCCAAGTCTTTTTGGGCCGTTTCTTTTGGACCATTCTTCATTAAATTTACACACAACGAAAAGAATCTCTTAATAATGAAATTATTATACCTATACCTATACTATACCTTCTGAAGTCTTATGACTTCTTTTCTCAAAATGTTGACTTGCTATGTCAAAACAATTAGTTTAGTATCTCATAATAATGACTTATTACCCCAAAATAATTACTTACTTTCTTGAAATTTAGTAACTCATTATATTCTCAAAAATACAAATCAATATTTCAAGACACCGAGTTAATATTTCAAAAACATATATCATTCATTTAAGATATTGGGAGGAAATGTCATTATTCTGAGATAAGAAGTCAATATTTCAATAAAGTACTACTTACTTTCTTGACATTCATAACTAATTATGATTCATAACTAAACTAAAAACAAGTTTATATTTCAAGAAAATATGTTTTTTAAAGATATTAGGTCAATACTTCAGTAAAATTTTATTAATTTGAGATATTAAATTAATAATTTAAGAAAATAAGTCATTATTTTGAGATATTAAGTCAATGTTTTGACAAACTGTTGCCAGAACCAGCGAAGGGGAAAAACCACAACTGGTCTTTTCTGTTCTATCTGGTGCGAATCTGCTTCTATAAATAAAGACATGATACACAGAATATGAGGTGATTCTAAACAAAGTACTTAGAACATGAACTGGTTCCTGCTTCTAGAACCTTGTTTATGAATTTGAGGACAACATTCATCCAACTCTATTTTTCGTCTTTAGTTCAGCTGAACTGAAGCCGGGTTTTGAATCAGTCATTCGAAAACCATCAAGCCAACCTTCAATAATATGACTTGCAGTGCACATTAATTCAATCTATAATACTTTTTACCAATAAGATGTTTCTGATCATCTCTAACGGATCTTTTCCTGCTGTGTGGAGCTGGTTTAACCCTGATGTTTGTGGAGCTGCTCCTCACAGCCGGCTGCAGGATGAGGTGTCAGCAGCTTTCTCTGGGCTTGAAGGGCTCCACTGCCCTGCCAGAGTCAACAGCAGACATTTTACCTCTGCTTTTCCTTGATGTCCAGCAGCCTCTCTCTGCAGTGCGCCGTGTGCTGCCCAAATACACCAAGCCTGCCTCAGGGCGTAACTGGCTGGAGGCAGGCTGTGAAATTCTACATGCCCAGAGGAATATGCAGCCACTTGATATGGTCACCCAGGCCAGTTATTTTTGCATCGGTTTCAAGGCTGGACTCATCAGGCTTCCTGCGACATCAGCTTCAGATAAGAGCTCAGTGCACACAAAGGGAGTGCTTAGAGTTCATCTGACCCTACAGGGCTGAGAGGACATGTCTTACAGAGCCCCTTAAATGGCCAGGACCCACTAGCAGGTCAAAACATCTATTACATAGTTTAGCAGTCTATTACATAGAAGCAGTTTAAAATGACATAGAAGCAGTTTAAAATACGCTGTTAGAAATAAAGGTTCAGTGCAGGTATATTTTTTGTTCATCAATGTAAATGTGCCCTCAAAGGTACAACAGTGGTTTTAAGGTCCAATTATGCACCTTAAATATGTTTTTCCAGGTGAAAAGTACATATTTGTACCTTTTCATAACCGAATGCTTTAAAACAGAACAGTAAAATAAAAGCATGGAGACGAGACGGGGTGTGTGGAGTCAACACAACTTAGAAGATAGAATGGATTATGGTACAATTATTTTCCCTGACTAAAGGTACTGAGATGTACCCTTGAGGCTCCCACCCCAGTGACAAGAGGGGTACTCAGGTCTGGGATTTTACGGGGTTAACACAAAAACACAATCCTACACTTATTCTTATCTATAACTAAAAACCTTAAATGCGAAAATGGAAAGTTTATTAGAGCGTCAACAACTATTAAGGTCATAAGTCAGCACTGATCTTGCAGAGAAAGAGGGGAGGCGTGTTTACGAAAACAAAAGCCTCTTTACTTCTTTTTATGCACAATACAAAATACAGTTCACAGTGAATCATAAGTTAATTGTAAGCTAATGCAGTCCTCTGACAGATCACGTCTAGTGTGCAGATGCCAATCAGGCATCAAAATAAGCAGTTCATATGCAGGTCAGTAATCTGAAACAAAGAGCAAGTGCAGCAAAAGTGTTTATGTTCTAGATATATTTGGTCTATGTGTTCTTCTCTGCTTTGGAGTGTGGCTTACATTGAACTTACTTGATTCAAATGTGCACATCATTTGCACCTGAACAAAACACATTACATCAACACAATTATCTTTCAGTTTGTCTTTCAGTTTTAATACTTTTAGGAATAACTGTCTTGATGTACTAGATTTTATTCACACGAAAATGACATTGTACACATTCGAATCAAGTCAGTTGTATGCATCACTTTTTGAAGTGTACAGGAGAGGCTTCTGTACATCTAGAAATAAAACAAATATTAAGGATGTGAATGTGCAGATGAAAAAACGTTAGTTAAATCAAATTATGACCATATTCTGCTGAACTACAGTGCTGGGCAAAAGTCAGAGACCACCTCTAATTTCTATTTAATTTCCAGAAAAAAAGTCATCAAGTACAAGTTACTCATTTTTCAGTGCTAGAAAAACATATTTTCCAGAAAATTACTGCCAAGTCAACTATCAGTTTTTTCAGTATCTATTGTGTCCACCATCTGCCTTAATAAAGCTTCCAGAGTTTTCCAGGGCTCCTTGGAAATACCTCCAAAGTTCAGTCTTAGAAGTTGGTTGCATTCAAATGGTCCCCAAATTACTACTGTTAACATCAGAGCCCTATATAGAACACAAATAGTCCCTAAAATTTGCAAGGCAGCTAAGTTGAGTTTGGGTAGCTGCTTGTGTGAATAGTAGGTTCTCTTTGAAGGGTAACATTTTGTCAGTGACTCCTTTGGGAACAGCCTTTGTTGGGAGGACTCAGCTATACCTGGTTGGTTTTATGACTGAAAGGATGGAAGAGTTAAAGTGGCAGTAGCCATAGGATCCACCCAAGTAAAGAGTGGATAAATTAAATACTGACCGATTTGATTTTATACATAGTTGTTGAGGCTTTCGTATCATTTTCAGTTAATTATGTTTCCTGTTTTCCTACCTTGACACTGCAAAATGAATATCTTGTACTTATAGGCTGGAAACTGAATAAAAGTAAGGGCGGTCCTGACTTTTGGACAGTACTGTACCTCCTGTGGTGATCAAGGAAGATGCATTATGCCCTGGGCAAGTGCAAACGTGCTCAACTCTCAAAGAAAGCTGAATCTACTAACATTGGGAACAAAAATGGCACAGTTTCAAGGCATTTAGACCTGTGAATGCAAAAGAGGTAGCCAGTGACTACCCAATAACGGCCATTCACAGATATGAATACTAGCTTTTTTAAATACAGTAAGCTCTAAGCTGCCCCTCATGAGTCAAATGATAGAATACCTCTGGTACGTCACTGAATAGCCAATCACCAATAACACATGTTCATTCCATTTAACTTCAGTGACTCATTTCAGACACAGCGGACACGCCTCGATCTCCGTCTCTAACCTCTCACTAGCCTACAGAATAAATACAGCGTACAGCAACCTTTCACAACACTGTGGTGTTATGACACATTCCGAAACCTTTCCATAAGTCCCTCTCGTCACTCACTCTTTCATGCCACTGGCCGATAGGCTTTCTACGCAGGGAAGCAGATGGAGCAGCACTCCAGGCAGATCTCCAGGCAGTCGGAGGATTGACAGCAGTCCTCCAGGATGGCGCAGTCCAGCAGGGCAGAGCAGGGGTCCTCAGAACAGCAGGCCAAACCACTGCATGCCTCACTACAGCAACACGCAGCATCACACTCCAGCCCACAGGCCAAACACTGCGCCAGCGCTGAGCACAGGGACAACACCTCGCAGAACAGACACGCCAGAATACAGTGCACGCAGCAGTCTGTGAAAAAAAACACATATTAGCCATGTTTATTGGAATAGAGTGCTTTGTCTGATTCTTAGCTAAACTGTCTGACATAAACATCCAACATTTTCTGAATCACTTCCCTACACTGGAAACACTTAGGAACCTGATATCATAACATAGCGTCAAATACGTGATCCACCATTTTGGCAGGGTTAGTCGGTCTAGGTTGGTGCTTAATAGTTAAATCTTCTTTCCTACCTGCTTTTTCTTGATTTTGCTTGGTCTGTAGCCCATAGACTACAGACTATAAACCTCAATGCATTGGCAGAGCTGACTAGTATTCAAATCCACATGGCTACCAGATAAAAGATCAGAGCAAAACCAAGCAGATAGGAAAGCTCCATTTGGATGCAGCGCTAGTCAAACAGCTCACAGAAAGCGTTGCAGTGAGAGTGCCGATGAGCTGAAGCTCATTTTATACTCCAATCGTATAGATTTAATAGACTTTAGAGGATTTATCATCAGCTAACTGACTCATCGTCTCAAACAAGTTATGATGTGACTAGGAATGTTAGCTGAGGTGAAAACAGAAGCTTAGCCTTTGAGGGATCTGTTATGGATTTTTGTGGTGTTTTGCTTAGTATAGCACAGCAATAGTGTCACTAGCTAGGCTAGTAGTGTTTGCTAAAAGGCTATCTACAGTGGGCTGTGCCAGTGAAATCTGAATCAGATAGTAAAAAAGCCTGGGTGATGAAAAAAGGAGGCAATGTTAGCATATTCAGATCAATACCCCAGCCTTTGTTTTGGAGTTTGTTTGGCTCCACACTGTCAATAAGACTAATTTATCCATATAACACTGTTTAGCAACCCTCTGTCGTTTGATGGCCTTTACCCCCTTTCCTTTTGATTCAATTTTAAACATTACAAGTCTGAAAAACCGCAATAAAACAACAATTTATTTAGACTTCAATCCCATGCCAACTGCTTCCCCACAGCAAGATAAATCTTTTATGACCTTTGCACAAGTCATTTTTGAGAAACTGGATGTTTCAGATCAGCAGATTATCACACAAATGATTAGTTTGGCATCGTGTGAATGCTTCTGAAAGCCACAAGGGTTTAAATGGTCCCCAATGGAAACGGCTACCAGACACTGACTGGCAGACAGCATGAGGCGCACAGATAAAACCACAGGCAGAGCCCAGTGTAGCTGCAAGATAAGAGCAGAGCTTATTTACTGCTAACTCTATGGGTGGGGGCCTCTTTCTTCATGTGCTGTCCGGCAGTTTAAACACACTGATATAAACACGGTCTCTGGTCATTGTAAAGGTTGATCTGTTTCACTCAAAGCTCCTGGTCTGTAAACAAGGGTTTGCCAGTTCCAGCAACTGATTACAAACATGATTTAATGAAAGGTGTGATGAATTTAATAAGCTGTGCTGCTCCTGGCACTGGGAAAATCCCACTCTCAGTTCTGGGGACTCTATGCACTGCTCTTTTTGTGTTTCCCCTGTTCTGACAAGCCTGATTCAACTCATCAACCCTGTCATTAGTCAAGCCAGGTATTTTAAAGCAGGGAAACACTAAAACAAAGCAGACTGAGATTGAGAACCACTGTATTCATAAACTGTGTAGCCCAGGGCAGCATTTGGAGAACTCTGCACTACTTTTTCTGTAGACATGTGACTTTAAATATACATCTGAGAGGTGTTAGTATAATATTTTTCTTCTCACCGTCGCCAGCGACTTGCTGTATTTGAGCGGCGTTGGCTTTCAAACTCTGCTGGCTTTTGGAGGTGGAGGGCAGCCGCTTTTTGTGAGTCTGGTTGTGCCCGTTGCACTTGGGTACCTGTGCAGGGTCAGGTGCCTTTTGACCTGTAGAGGCAGTGGGAGGTGTGCAAATGGGTGGTGATCCATTGGTCACAGTGTCTGGAGGAGTGGAGCCGTTGAGAGGGCAAGGAGACTCTGAAATAGAGACAGTAGGCGACTGTGTGACATGGAGCTATTCAGGAAAAGAAATACGTTATTTAAAATTTAGTCAAAATGTCATTAAGGACAAGTCTTCAATTTCTGTAGCATCAGAGAAAAAGTCTTCCTTTCAGTTTTTCAGAGAAATCTGCAGTGATATTTTTCCACACCCCCAAAGTTCAGTCTTAGACGTTGGTTGCATTTTCTGTTTCCCACAATACAAATAATCTCTAACACAAATTTAGACTATTTAGACTAAACTTCAGACTTATTATAAAATGTATCTATAAAATGGACAAATGTAAAAAAAAGGTTTGTGTTACTCCACTTATGGGTCCATTTATGAGTCAGTCTACCATATTAGTTCAAACTGTGGTCCCACAGTAAAACTATTTAAAAAACATTGAAGTATTTAGACCTTAGATATTTATAAAGATTATCCTATGATCTATTTAAACCAACAGCAGTAACTGAGACAGTAATAAGCTACATATATACAAAATCATCATTTATACTTTCTTTTGGGAGGTGCCGGTCCCAAACACTAACCTCTAAATCTCAACTTGTGTTAATAATGCTTACATTTTTTTTTTTCAAAGATGTTTTCACTTCCTTTAAGCTGAGATTGAAAGATTTAGATTTATCATGAGTTTCATTTTTAAATAAAAAAACTTTATTCAGAAAATGCTGCCCCATGTTTTCATGTCACTACTGAATTACAGTTTTAGTCCATAGGCGGAGTCTTATTTTAGCCACACCCCTGCATTTTAGAGCAGATAGTGAGACTGCATCCATGTCCCTCATGACCACATGGTGAGCAGTTAGATCCCATTGTTTTGAAGTAAATGTGTCTCAAAGTCTGGAAATCAGTGTGAAACATTAACACTTGTCTCTACCAAAACACAGATTTTCTGTTCTCAAAATTAGCTAAAATAGTAAATACAGAACCCACACTACAGAGTCCCCACTGAAATATTGGTAAAAATTCAGTAATACCATGATTGTTTTGGCGGTGAAAAAATGGAATGATCAACTGATTATTTTAATAAGCTATGAAATAATATAAAAATCAATAAGCTACAGTGTCACTCAAGGCAAAAGAATTTTAGTCTAAAGGCTGTCACTAAGAAGTCAAAATGGGTTTTGAAATCTGACTTTGAACCAATTCAGTACAGTGATTCTTATAATAACCATAATATAAACTTCATTCGGAGGAATCATCAATATTAACCACCACTACTTTACTGCAAGTGACACCTCAGACTGTCCTTCACCGTCAGCGCTGCCTAAGAATAAAAATGTACTGTAAATGCTGTTACCTTTTTCTATTTTGTGGGGAATCACTGGTACGTGGTCGGGAAGCAGAAGAGCATCCTCGCTCGTTACTACGATGTCATTCAACGACACGCCACTTCCCCTGTGGCCTATTCCATTAGAACATGTCATCTTTGCTGAAAGAGGATTAATGAAAGTGAAAGAAAGACTGAAAACACTGTTTTCTTACCTGCTCTTATGCAGCAGAGATGAATACATCATGATGCGTAAAATTTAGGGGTTATTTGTAAATTAGCTCTGTTACTGCAATCACATGTTCTACAAAGATAAGGATATTGTTTTATCTCTTGGCAAAAATGGCATAGAACAGCACTTCAACCTACAGGACTAGCTCTGATTATACAGTCATACGCAAAATACACCCTCAGTCAAATGACATGTTGTGTTCAAAATACGTTACATCCTCTACAGGTAACAAATGAAACAACGGCATTTTTCTGCTGATTTTAGTGCATTTTTTATTTTAAAATACTAAATATAAAACACTTTTTTCCAATTTTTTTTATTAAAAATAAGTAGTAATTGTGCATTAAAATGTGCAGACGTGTGCTCTCTGTGGAGGATGTGTAACTTATTTTCACAAAAATGTAGTCTGACCAGGGGTGCCAAAACTTTTGTATACAACTGTACGAACACATAATTCCACAAAGATTATTATTACAGTGAACAGAAAGAATAGAGACCTTAAAAGGAATACAGCACATAACAAGGATAACATGGCTAATAATGCATGGAAGCTAACAGAAGCCCCTTAATCCCCAACAGTTTTCATGAACTGTAGATCAGATCAGCACTTTCTGATTTACTGACCGGGCTCTGCTGTGATGGCTTCTGTGTCAGCAGTGCTCTCTGACTGGGCGATGCGGTTAGTGTGGTTGCCGCAGCTCTTGGTTCTGTCCTTTCCACTGCTCAGTGTCACGTCCTGCTGCTGGACGTCCATGGCTTCTGTCTCCTTCTGAGACGCCTGTCAGTAACTCTGATTAAACAGGGAGAACGAGATAGCGACTTGTAGTACACTGGGCCGCACAGTCCACAGCACTTTCAAATAGCAACTATACTGACGAGTCAAACCAGTTGTTTCAGAGCAGGGAGAACACAAACCTATGCAGGATTAGCAAAGGCTGAAGTAATGCATAAAATCTCTGTGCCCATATATATATTCATGTCCATATCTGATGATTTTCAATCTCCTTTGTTCCATAAGCTGCCTGAGCTTGACTGAGCACAAATCTGAAGATTTTTTTTTTTTTTTTCAATTAATCAAACCACATGGGCAAAAATGTAGTTATATTAATGTATCATATTAAATCCAACCTTTTATGAAAATCCTAATTTTACGATGAATACATGCAAGATATAACAACATATATATATATATATATATATATACATATATATATATATATATATACGTTGTTTTTTTTTTAATAACAATAAATAATTTCACTGTAGGTCTGTGTACAAGTTCTTTTCCTTACCCTTAAAAATAAAATATTTATTTATTGGACATGAATAGGTTATATGGGTGCAAACTGATAGCAACAACACATTTTTTTACATTTTTTTCCGTTTTTATTTTTCAACATCATTTGCGCTCAGGAGCTGCTCTTTTGCTCTTGACATTGTGTACAGATTTCATGATGAGGGCAACGATATATAGTGTCTCACTCCCATCCATTCGCAGCCTTACCAGCTTTAAATCAATAATATTAGCTATGAACACTGAACAGGAGCCGATTAGATCATGACAAATGATCGCAGCACTGGTTGTCCAGTCTGTGAAGCTATGCTCGCTGCAATTTGTCTATAATCTATACACAGTCAGTGTAGCAGCTTTATACTTCCAGAATCCAAACATATCAATGCTTTTGTGACATTATTATGAATTCTGAAATAGAAACCGTTTTCTACTGAGCTTATTGAGATATCTACTGACATAATGCATTTGAGAATTTCCAACCACGGGGTTGAGATGAGGTGAAAGAGTCCTGTTTACATGCTGAGGCGCTGAGTAACTGAAAAAGCCAAACGTCCTCATTACAGGAGCTGTAAACTGCTTTCAGCCTCATCAGCAAGATACTGTACCTATACCAGACAGTCTGATTTTCACAACTAGGGGAGATTCTCATAATCTAGAATCAGGACAACACCTTTGCCAACAGCTTCCGCTTGCATGTGTTGTTTATGGTTCTATATAGCACCACAAAGGGTTCTTGTTACAGGGTTGACATTGGCATTGTAACTACACAGAACCATTTTCAAAAGGCTTCTATACTGAACCAAAGACAATCATCGATCTGAAAAACCATTACACCATGCAAACAACCACTCAGCATGAAGTAGTTCTACGTAGAACTCATGGTTCTAAACAGAACCATTCCCTTTATTATAGGGCTTGAAGAACCATCTGTAGTGTAGCTACCAGAAGTCTGGACCATAAACACTTGAACCTCATTGAAAAGTGTCTGGTCCAGAAACTCCTCAGGTACTGAGTCCCTTACAGAACTGCAGTGGAACTTCTCAGCACCATCCAGCGTCTCTCTGAAGTTTTAAAGGTTCTTTTTTCTGTTTTTGGAGTAAAATAAAAAGCTAAGGCTCCAAACTGAGAGGTGTGAGCAACAGTACAGCAACACAGGAGCTGAACCAACACAACAGAATGAAATGAAATCCCAAAACTGAAGAGAACTTTAGGAGCTAAGTTAAATGTGAATGACTGAAGTGGAGAAAGTATTTACTTTTCCTCATAAATAAACTTCAGAAGAAGAATTCTTTGAAAAGACTGATAAAAGTGAAAAATACAGCAAAATTTTGCTCAAGTACATGTAACTAAGTAGTTATAACCCATTTCTAACATGACGTATTTCACTAACCTGTTGAAACCCACAATTTACTGAGCAACAGAGCAAGCTAATTTGATTACTTGCCTGATTTTATCAGTCTGAGTGACGCCAGTAAACAAGATTAAGTGATGTAGAGGTAAAGTCTGTGGGACGAGAATGTTGAAATGACTTACAAACTAGTTTTTCGGTGGTCTGACTTACTTTGGACGGCGGTATCTGGATTAAAACAACTAAAACATAAACTTACCTTGACTTGAGTAGATCCAGCCTCTCAGTTCTAGAAGATTCGGCTCGATTTAAGGCTCGAAAGCGACGGTTAAATGATCTCTAGCAGCCAGTCAGTCACATTAGGGAGGCGTTATTATTTTCCTCACCCGGTTTTCCGCTACAACCCGCCTCCTGCGTTATGATTGGATAGTACTACACACAGACAAAGCTTCTGACCAATCCTCACGGAGGAATGGAGATACCTCAGCCAATCACAGTCGGGGGAGGGCGGGGCTTGACAGAAAACGGGTGTTAAAAATAATGACGCCGCTAAAATAATGTCTTTAGACATTTTTGGCACTTTAAACATTTAAAACATATATTTTTTTTTCAATCTTCAGACATTTTACTGTCCTCTCTCCCAGTTGTTGGTTTATTTTTATGCAAGCCTAAATATAGGTTGACCTTTTCAATAAATAGGCTAATAATAATTGTGGATTTGTTTGACATTGACTTACATTAAGTGTTAATGTTTTTCACTAATTCACAACATGAAGGACTCGAAATTGTAAAATTGTGCTGAATTATTTGAGGCACGCTCAACAACAGCTCCCCGTTGTTTTGACTGACAATGCACGCGCTCTCTCGGGAGCAAAATCTGAGGAAACATCTTGTTCTTTTAAAATGACAGAAATGAAACTGGCCTTTGAGACACCGGCGGAGTGATGAAAAGTCTGATTCATTCAATGCTTTTAGAGCTTTTATTAGACACTTTCCTGATAAATGCAGTGTTGGTGAAAAAAGGGCTGGATATAAAACCTATGAAATCAAAAAGTGGACCAGTTTTTGACAGGGCGCTGCATTTTTATAATCACAAACAATGTGAAACCAGATTTGTTAAAAAATAATAAAATGAATTAGTACTCAAATTTGAGCCACGCTTGAATTGCATCCATATCTCTATTTATTTGTAGTTTTCGCTAAAAGTTAAACAGGAAAGCCTGATAACCAAGTAGCCTAAACAAAAGTGTCCGTCCAGAGGAAGGGTCCAGTTTATTCAAACAGTAGTGCAATGAAAATCTTCACAGACATTGAATCATTATTATTCAATTATGACTATTAGAGTGTCATTATTAACTTTAATAACAGAATTTGTTGTTGTATGCAAACATTGTTAACGTTTCAAAACATACCATTCCCTCAGCAACCCATCCAGCCCATATATGAAAACGATCAGCTTGTTTTGAATTCACTGTTTCTGTGAAAACCAGCTTATTTACGTTCATCCACCTGCTCAGCCTACAGCAGTTTAGCCCCGCCCATTTCTGGTGAAGTTATAATGAGTGTTTCACTCCAGACTGCTTTTTGAACGAGGTTCAACACAGGACAGCCAATCAGAACAGAGGTCGTTTACATATATCAGGCCTACAGGCACAGTAACAACTACAGCCTGTTTAATTCTAAAAGATAAAGTGTGTAGGATATGAGCTCTTTTAAAAAGAACTTTTATAACACATTTAATGACACGTTTAATATTTAATAATATTAAATATAACATTTAATAATAAATAACATTTTAAAAACATACTGTAATGTTTTTAACCCCTGATGTTCACATCAACCTCCAGTAGGGGGCAGTGCCTGAGTTTGCAGTGCTCGTATGGAAGAAGAAGAGCTGTAAAAGCCGTTGCAGTGTTTTTTACTGTGTAAACACAAAGGTGGACCCTGAAACGGTTACAGATTAGTCTGGTTTTATCTGATATTGGACTTTTACCGACGGTTTACCTTTTGTTTCTACGGCTTGTGTGCTCAGCGGTTTATTTTGGACTTGTTAAATTCCCGAACCCGACATGGTGAGTATGTGTCTGTGGAGTTCGCTGGGTTCGGTGGACTGAGGCAGCGCCCTCGCACACAGGCCACAGACCAATACATACACAGAATTACAAACAGAACACGATTCCGGAGCTTCACCAAGTCCGTCGTGTTGTCTTGTCACACTGTTCTTGCTGAACACCTGATCAGTAGCCTTAAATGTCGTTTGTATTGCTCTGTCACTTGGCTGTCTCCGAGTTTTTATAGCTTGATGTGCGTCTGAGGGCTGTAACGATACACATTTTCAGGTCCGATACGATTTTCGATTTTGAGGTAAAGATTCAGTTCAACTTTCGATATCCTCTGTCTTGAAAGTGTCTTGATTCTGCTGAGTTCCTAATCTATATAGTGCACAGATTGGTTTGGCTCAGATGTGCCTGCCATGCTTACAAAATAAGCCCCCAAAATTACAACACCTAGAATTTGTATGCAGTTAGATAAGAAGCCGAGTTCTCTGAAGTTAATCGTTCTGTAGTTAGTTCATGCACGTATATACGGAGGTTAAAAAAATAATGAATTTGAGCGAACGTTTTGCAGTTCGTACGCACGTTTTCCTTTATTCATGGTCACAATTTCTTAAATCGTTCCCATCGTTTTCTTTTAAACGTGCGCACGTTTTCTTTACTTCGTGGGTACGTTTTTGTTTATTCGTGATCGCGATTTTCTAATTTGTTCTCTCGTTTTCTTTTAATCGTTGTCATGCTTTATTTTTAACTGCACGCACGTTTATTTTTTTAAATCGTGCGCAAAATCAGTGTAGTAGATACAGGTCATGGTTTTTGTCTGGTGCAGAAGTAAATAACAGCTCCTTGAGACTGTCTGATGGGTTTTGATGAGTTAGATTGATGAGATGATGAACAGAGATGCTCATCAGGTCTGATTTTGATTTAGGGGGTTATGAGGAAACTGCAGCTCCTCTTCACAACAAACGGCCCTCAGATTCATCAGTGCAGCCGCAGTTTGGTGGTGAAATGAAGGAAGACAATAAACTACAACCACAATCTTCACTAAACTGCACTTTCTAATGATTCTATTTAACAGAGATAAAGAAGCAGCGCGGCTGCTTAGCGCTGTTTCTGCTCCCACGACAAGCTGCGGTGTTAGAGATCATCACACAATTACAGGAGGAAATGATTAGTGTCAACGTTTCAACAAACTCAAATTAAACACACACAGAAACATTCATGTGGGATGAGGTCAAATGGCGAGTGAGTTTAACAGATCTTTAAATTAGATGTAGATATATTAATGTGAGGATGTTGAAACGCTGATCATTTCGTCCTGTAATTGTGTGATGGTCCCTAACACCGCAGCTTGAGCGGGAGCAGAAACACCGTGGGCAGTTCACTGTGAAGAGGAGCTGCAGTTTCCTCATAACCCCCCAAATCAAAATCAGACCTGATGAGCACCTCTGTCCATTATCTTATCAATCTAACTCATCAAAACCCGTCAGACGGTCTCAGGGAGCTGTTATCAAAACACAAACAATGTGCGTTCAGTTAAAAATAAAACATGACCACGGTTAAAAGAAAACGAGAGAACGGACCAGAAAATCGTGATCACGAATAAAAAAAAACGAACCCGCGAAGTAAAGAAAATGAGGGAACGATTTAAGAAATTGTGACCACGAATAAGAGAAAACGTGCGTACAAACTGCAAAACGTTCCCTCGTATTATTATTATTATTTTTTTTTACCTCCGTCCCCTCCAGGGCTCCATATGTATAAGGAATTCCAGGTCTTAGTGGTTTTTCTCTATGGGAAAATGAGGGCATAAAGGGCGGAAGTATAAAAAATGGTGTTGTTTGTCTTTGAAAATCGCTGCTATATCACAGTGTAGTAAATAAAATTGTCCCATACCTTATTCATTTTGTCCCATTTACGTCCCCTTAGGACTAAGCAGTTCTCTATGTGATAAATGAATGGTGTTTTCGCTGCTGCCGTAATCGCTGCTCTTGTGTCGTATGGTCAACAAAAATGTTCAAAACCCCATATTTTTGCTGTATATTACTGGAGCCCTTTGACTTAAAAGGCCATTTAGCAGTTAAAATGAGAATAATGCTTTGTGCGTGCTACATGCAGGTTAACACATTCGTGATGTCACCAAAATATCTTGTGCAAACCAGTAAGTTTTGTTTAATGTTGTGGTTAATTGAATGTAAACAATGTAGTGGTTATTTGGCAGTAGTAACCTTCTTTTGAATGCCACTATTGTACAATGCTGTGAGAAAGTATTTGCCTCCACTTGATTTCTTTAGTTTCTGCCAATTCATCACATCTATATGTTTCAGATTACCCAACTAATTTTATTACAAAATAAAGACATTCCATTTATTGAAGATAAAGATAAAGATTTATTCAAAACCTACATCACTCATGTGAAAGAGTGATTGCCCCCCCTTCCCCCCCAAAGCTAATAACTGGTTGTGCCACCCTTGTTAGTAACAGTTGTGGAGTCAAATGTGTGTGGTAACTTGCGATCTTTGATTTTCTTTGATCTTCCTTGATCTATCTATCTGTCTGTCTATCTATCAATCTATCAATCAGAATTATTTGGTAATTTAGTTATTCATAATCCTAATAATCGTTTATTCTTTTAAATAATCGATAGATTATTCGACTATCAAATTAGTCATTTGTCGCAGCCCTAACTATCACCATCAGGTTTGACTGTTGGTATGATGTTCTTGTGGTGGAATGCGGTGTTAGTTTTACGCCTGATGTAAGGGAACCTCTGTCTTCCATCAGTCCACAGAATATTATCCGAAAGTCTTGGGGGTCATCTAGATGTTTTTTGGCAAATGCAAGACGAGCCTTTGTGTTCTTTTTTGGTCAGCAGTGCTTTGTGCCTTGCAACTCTCGCATGTTTGCCATTTTTGCCCAGTGTCTTTCTTATTGTGGAATCGATTACATTGAGACAACTGAGACAGGTGAGGCCTGCAGTTCATTAGAAGTTCATCTGGGTTCTTTTGTGACCTCCTAGATGAGTTGTCAGTGAACTCAAGAATGTTAATTCTTCTTGTTCCTTTTGATGATGCTTTGGCAATACTGTAACTGAATATGGTCATGCCAATAAAGCTTATTGAATTGAATTGAATTTTATATATATATATATATATATATATATATATATATATATATATATAATGTCGCTGTTGTCGGAAGAAAACCTCGTATTTCCAAAATAGTAACTATACAAGAGAAGGAAAAAACCTACTTTAATTTTAATGTGAGTCAATGGAACCAGACTTTTTTCCAAGTCATTTTGGGCGGTTTCTTTTGGTCTATTACTCATAAAATTAAAATACAATGTAAAGGGTAATGGGTATTCTCAAATTATGTCAAAAACTGAAAAAAATGGAGATACGAGGTTTTCTTCCGACAACAGCGATAGATATATATATATATATATATATATATATATATATATATATATATATATACATACATACATACATACATACATACATACATACGTAGTTATATTTCTCAGTTATTCTTACTTTGTTCCTTTTTGTTTTGCTCATTCCCCACTAGGAGAGGGAGAATCCAGCTTTCAGTCAACCAGACAATGAGGGCAGCATAAACCGGAACGCTCCACTGTATTGCATTTGTCGCAAACCAGACATCAACTGCTTCATGATGTGAGACTTTATTTGCATTTCAACTGAACAGAAACTGACTTGTTAAAGTGTAACAGGTAACATAAATGATGGCGCTAACGCACTATAAACTCATTTGCTCTTTTTGTACAGAGGTTGTGACAACTGCAATGAGTGGTTTCATGGTGACTGCATTAAGATTTCAGAGAAGACAGCAAAAACAATCAGGGTTTGGTACTGTGAACGCTGCCGCAGTGAGTGTCTAGTATTAGATCTTTTATTTCATACTTACCCCTTGTGCAGTTAAAATAAGTCATTTGCTTAGCTTTCATAATCTCCTGTTCCAGGTAAAGACGATTCTTTGGAGGTCAAGTTTCGTCCCAAGAAAAGCAGAGAGAAAGATGCAGATGCAGAAGGAGTGGATTCACAAGCTGACACTGACACACCCGATTTTAAGACTGGCCGGCGTGGATCACGGGTAAACTAACTGTACAAAAACTGCCTGAAGGAATGATCTCTACAGTTTTCACCTTTACCCTAACATAGTAATTCAGTTTTGCACCGAAGCTTTGAGACTAATATAATAGTTTTTGCATGGTTTTCTTCCACTGCACATTGAAAAATAATGGGATCCAGTGGTTCTAGTTCATTTCCCACCTTCTTGAGAGACAAAACCATCAGGAAAAAAACATGATTAACGATTTTATTGTCTTTGGTCATTTTATTCTAATGCCTAGTTTGGCTAATTATCTACTATGCTTGCTAGTTGTACTAGCACTGCGCTCACACACACAAATCTACATTTACACAGAATCATGTGTAGAATCAAGCAAAGCTTACATTTTTCTCTGACAAGACAAAAAATGAGCATCTGTGGCATAGCATAAATGCTAATAGCATTAGCTTCCTTGCTTACCATAGCAAAATCTCTACAAAGTAACAACTCTAAAAAGATAGCAAGTAACATATCAACACACCATCCTAATTTACGTTCTACTGCACCTATTGGTAATGTAATAGTTCTTGGTATCCTAATCTTCACCTGGAACAGTTAAAGAATTTGATAAACTTCATGCCGCAGCTGTTTTTTAAACATTGCGCCACTTTAGTTGAAAATATGAACATACGTCATCTAGAAGATGAAGTATATTTAAACCCTTTATTTCGTCAAGCATGTAGTTGGTTTCAGCTGGTACCGTGGTGTTTTCGCACATGATCAGACTGAGAAATCTGAAAGAAATCAGAGTAAGAGTTCACATGCACTGAGAAATCGGATTTAGAAATTGAGCTAAAATCCAGTTCTCTTAATTGGATTTTTTAATTTCTAGACATTAGTCCGATCTAAGAAATCGGAGTATGTTGTTTACGTGACCATTTGAATAATCAGATAACTGCAGAAATCCAATTATGATCGGATTATTGACTGCATGTAAACACGCTCATTGTCTATTACTACCAATGGCCAATGGAAAAAGCACAGTTCCATTTTTCTGGTGCCCAGGGCTCGAATACTGTGTGCAGTGGAAAAACACCCATAGACTTTGATTACTTTTAGCTTTATTCGCCTTTTGGCTCCAATGCAAAACACAAGAAGCAAACCCTTAATACTAATTATGAATGAAGACACCTATGGAGTAGCTGTGGTATTTAACATTTTGAGCAGGCACACTTGAGCTTATGTGTATTGAATGTGCCTGCAGGTGAAGCGGTCAGCACGTATGTGTGGGGAGTGTGAGGCCTGCAGGAGAACTGAGGACTGTGCTCAGTGTGATTTCTGCAAGGACATGAAAAAGTTTGGCGGCCCAAATAAGATCAGGCAGAAGTGTCGGCTACGGCAGTGTGAAGTCCGGGCCCGGGTGAGTGTGCCTCGCTGAATGTTGAACACACCTCAGTCTGACCTCAGTCATTTTCACACTTACTATGTGGTCACAAATAATGATGTCAGTTTCACTGTGCATCATTCATCACTTATTACATTAACCCTGAGCTCTTATACAGCATCATCTTTAATTTTTTTACGTTTCCATCACAGGAAAAATAACGTTTAACTGGTGTTCCGTCTGTATTGGAAACCAGCTCTGATTAGAATAGAACAGAAAACCCCATTGGTGGAAATTTGTCTTATTTTACTGTAAACTAAATGTATTTATTATAATTAAAAATGTATTAATTTCAAGCAAGGTAAAGGTTAAAGAGGGTAAAGAGACAGCAGACAGCTTTTTACTGAAGACCTCATGGGTTTCAGCTTCTCATCTGCTTCAACTGTTCCACGGCCTTGGCTTAAACTTAGAGGAGATCATGGCTTTGCTGTTGCTGCGCCCAGACTTTGGAACAGCTTTCCTGTCATCAGACAGACAATCCTTGGTGGCTGTTTTTAAATCCAAGCACAGAACACATTTCTATCAACTGTGTTTTAGTAACATTTGACTGGTTTTTGCTGGTTGAGTGGTTGATTGTGTGTGGTGTTAGTGTTAATGTGTTTTTATGTGTAAAAATGATTTAATCAATTGTAAAGCAGGTTTTAAATGTACTTTATAAATAAAACTTATTTACTTACTTACTATGGCTACTGCTGGTTGGTATAGTGTAGTGGGTAACACCTCTGCCTTCTATGCTGTAGACCAGGGTTCAATCCCCTGACTGGGCAAGCACTCTACGCTATACCAATAAGAGTCCTTGGGCAAGACTCCTAACACTACCTTCGCCTACCTGTGTAAAATGATCACATTGTAAGTCGCTCTGGAGAAGAGCGTCTGCCAAGTCCATAAATGTAAATGTACTGCTGCGGTGTTCTTGCAGTTCACCCAAATGTCTCTTTTTAATTAGTCAGTGTTAGAGACTTTGTTTAGATTTATTTGAATGTGAGCTGAAATATTGTGTTTGTTTGTGCTGCAGAAAATGCTGCGGGTGAAGGATGAGGAGTACTCTGCGTCTAAAAGCCCACACATGGCCCAGAGAGACTGCCCTCTATCGGATGAGTTCAGTGAGGATGAGCTGGAGCTTTATGAGCAGTACCGTGCTGGCAGATACGGAGACCATGTACGCACACACTCCCACAACACTGTATAGATTAACTCATCACTTTAGGCACAACGCTGTGCCTTTAAAGGCTTAATACTTGTTTTTTACACTTAATCTTTACTTCAGAATTCTTACACTTATGAATTACCATGTCTGCAGCAACATTTACAGTACACTACTAGCTGTGATATTCTATACAGAATTACAGCCTTATGCTGTGTTTATATGTTGGAGTTGAATGAACGTTCCATGCCTTGTAGTACCACACAACCAACAGTGGCTTTGCAGCCATGGAAAAGTTGCCATGGTGACAGCTGGGGGGATAATAATGAGATGTTGGGCACCTGTGACCCTCAAAAAAAAACATTATTCAGTTCTATTGGGAAAAACTCTTAAAAGAATGTTCTGCTGACCGCTCTAGTTCACTGCAGTCGATGCTGGTAGCGGTGGATTTTTGTTGCTGCTGTTTTTTTGGAAAGCAATGAAATATCTGGCTTGCCATCGACTTTTGTATGTGAGCTAACAGGCAGAACTGCAGTTCCATATAGATCTTGTCTAAGGGTTGTCAGACATGGAGTGTGTGTGTCTTCTATTAGAGCTGGAACAGTGATGATGATGATGGTACGTGCCTTGACCCTGCCATGCGGAAGAGAGCCGTGAAAGTCAAACATGTGAAGAGGAGGGAGAAGCGATCTGAGAAAAAGGTTAATTACCTACACAAATTTAGACACCGTCAAAGTCGAGCAGCCTGTATGCATGTCAGCACAAAGAGGTGAGTTTAGACACCATAGATAGCATAGAATAGTGCTTGTTAACTGACAAAAGAAACTGCTGAAAGGTCATTTAAAACTGTAATTACAAACAATGTAACTACTTTTTGTAAAAACTACAAATGCTATTGTTAATAACAAACGAAAGCAATTACTGTCATGAGGAAATGTTTTTTTTGAAAAATCTAATTTACACAATTTTCCATGTACCTCAAATGTAGACATGTTTGGTGTCCAAATTTTGCTGCTTTCGTTTAGAAGCTACGTGGCTGATAACGCTGTTATCAAGCACTGGAATTCTATGAACACCCAAAAAACGCCATGCAGGCCTGTGGATGCTGTTTCTGTTATGTTCCAGATTTCTGTTGTTTCTGTTAATGAATAACTTTAGTCTTATTTTTTAACTGAATATATATGTTAAGTAAAAGTAACAACATAAATTTCTAATATAATCTAGTGTCCATATGCCTGCGTGATGGTTGTGAAGGGAAGGGCAGTCAGATTCTGTGGGGGAGAATTTGACACGACACCTGTTGTCTAAAATGGCTGCTCATTTCGTTCAGCTACTCTGTGAAGTTTTGTTCATTTTTATAGTTAATAGTAAATCATATTGTTACATTGAAGTCTGAGTGGCGGACGAAGACCTGGATGGGGTTTAAGCTGCTCAAGACAAGTTTTGGAGATGTATTTACTGAGAAGATTTTGGTGTCTATTGAGTTCTAGTATTTGTTAGCAACGTTAGCCTCGTAGCTCCCGTACTAAATTGAAGTAGCAAAATGTGAACACCAAGCATGTAATAACATGCCTCAGCCTTCATTCGCTGTTAGCCACATTTGTTTGGCCTAATGTCTGCCTGCTCCTCTTCCATAACTTATCAAAGTTTAATTTCATTCTGTATCTTCTATCAGAAAGAGGAGAATAAGCCCCGTAAGCACAAACCGAAGCAGAAGCACCGGGACAAGGTGAGGCACAGTGAGCGGACTGAGACTCGAGACAGTGGGGGGAGCAGACAGTGCCTCGGGCCGAGCTGTGTGGAAGCGGCACGTCCCAACTCCAAATACTGCTCTGATGACTGTGGCATGAAGCTTGCAGCCAAGTAAGGCTCATCATTATAAATGTGCAATGCATAGTAATCAGTATGTATACATGTGTATTCTTAGTAATATGTGCATTGTAACACTGACATAAAAACCAACTTAAGATTCATTTTCATCTCTCCATGACCCATCAGTCGGATCTATGAGATCCTCCCTCAGCGTATCCAACAGTGGCAGCAGAGCCCCTGTATTGCTGAGGAACAGGGCAAGAAGCTTCTGGAACGCATCCGGCGTGAGCAACAGTCGGCCCGCCTAAGGCTCACTGAGATGGAGAAGCGTTTTCATGAGTTGGAAGGCATCATCGCTAAGGCCAAACAGCAAGTTGTAGATCATGATGAAGAGGTCAGAGAGCATCATGATGTCAACCATAACCAATTGCTGGTTTATAGTCCTGTCTGAAGTAATAGCACGTTGACAGGAGCCATGTTTGGTTGGTAGAGGAAGTCCTAGTGTAGGATCTGTAAAAGCATTTTTCTGAGTGTTGACTCTTGGCCCCTGCAGGTAAATGAGGGAGATGATGATACGGACCTTCAAATTTTCTGCGTCTCCTGCAGTCATCCAGTCAACCCCAAGGTGGCGCTGCGTCATATGGAGAGATGCTATGCCAAGGTGAACTGAACTGTTCCTGGTCATTCCTAACTGTGCTGTATATAATACGTTACATATGAAGACTTGTATACCTCTCTTTCAAACTCTTGCAATAGTAACTTGACTTCTTGACTTATTCTCATTGTAAATCCCTTTGTCTGTTTTTTTAACAGTATGAGAGTCAGACATCATTTGGTTCTATGTATCCCACACGCATAGAAGGGTAAGTGAACATGAACAGCTTGGTATCAGTTCAGTTCAGGTGAAGGTGTGTCCAGAGAAATCCTAGTCACACAAAGTCAAGGAGTTAGTGCTCTCCTGCAAGCGTGTTTAGCCGCTCAGCAACATGTGGCGAGAAGCACTGGTAGGCAAGGAAGTGAATTTTATGTAAGAATGGTTGTTTTATGTGACTTGTTTCTGGATTGTAAATTTTTAAGATTTTAACCACCTTCATTTATGCTTGGTAATCAAATGTGTCTCTGTTTGGTTGGATTGCTGCATGGCACTTCAAACCTGTTTTAAATGCATCTTGGGCAAATTTACACCTGCATTTTTATGTGGATAATCTCTATCCAGGTGTAATCCTGATGCTTGAGGTGCATGAAACAATCAGATGTAAACGGGGTCTAAGGCCTTGTTCAGATATGCAACCCAAATCCGATTTTTCGGCATATCTGATTTGAGCAGGACAGATTTTATACAGTCTGAATGGCAAAAAGCCACATTAAATTTGACCGTTTCCCATCAGAGCCACAGATTTTCACATTTAACATTTGGGTTGCCGACCCCTGGCCTAAACTAACATCCTGTTCTGTTCATACTGTAGTTAATAAAAAGTGAAACACTGCCGTGAAATATAGAGTGATCTGTAGTCTGTTAGCTAGTTATCGTCATTAAGTTTGCTAAGTTTTGCCACTGTCTGGTCAGCATATGCACACATACATCATTACTACTGCAGCCAGTGTGGATATGCGAGCAAATGCGACTGACCATACAAATTAGATTGGTCACTTGTAATTTGAAACCTCAACAGTCCGTCTAAAAACACAGGTACAAAAACCAAGTCTGATTTGGCCTGCAGTGTGAACAAAGCCTAAGACAGTGGTTTTTACTTGTTTATGTCAGTAATATAAAATAAACCCTTTGTGTTTCACTTTATTTTTGCAGTGCAACAAGGCTGTTCTGTGACGTTTACAATCCTCAAAGCAAAACATACTGTAAGAGGCTTCAGGTTCTCTGTCCCGAACACTCTCGAGATCCAAAGGTGAGTTTGTCGTGTGGATTATCTGCTCAATTGATCAACAAAGCACTATTATTAACGAACATTTTTCTTTGATTATTACCGTACTAATAGAGCCTTATTGTTGATCTGTGGTTTTGCAGGTTCCAGCAGATGAGGTGTGTGGCTGCCCTCTGGTTCGTGATGTCTTTGAGCCCACAGGGGAGTACTGCAGAGTGTCCAAGCGCAAATGCAACAAACACTATTGCTGGGAGAAGCTCCGCAGAGCAGAGGTGGATCTGGAGAGAGTCCGAGTGGTTAGTGTGCTCCAAAGTCATCTTAAATTCTCATCATGAACTAATGTTTCAAATTTAGAATGTTTTCAATGATAGAAAATCAAGTTTTTTTCCAGATACATATGTAAAATGATTCTAATGTGATGCTAGTTCTGTGCAACTCTGTGACTTTATTCATTTATTTAATACCATGTTTCCCATGATGTATCTGTCTCCTAGTGGTACAAGTTGGACGAGTTGTTTGAACAGGAGCGAAACGTCCGCACTGCAATGACTAATCGTGCTGGCCTGCTGGCTCTCATGCTGCATCAGACCATTCAACATGACCCACATGCCACAGATCTGCGCTCCGGCAAGGACAGATAGCCACTGAGGTCTGCTTTACCTTTTCATAGGTGCTAATGTAACATCAGTAAATGTTTAAAAATAATATCTGTAACAGTAAGAAATAAAAAAAAAATAAAACTGCACAGAAAATTCTGTATCTTTTAAAAAATTCTGGAAAGTTTTAAACTCTTGAGATGTTAAACTTTTAACCTAACGCAAGGAGAAGCAGCCACTAAGATCTCTTTTGTCTTTCATTCTAATGTTTCATTAAAAGGTGGCCGAGCAACACAAGTAACAGTAGTTTTCCTTTAATTGCAAGTTCAATGATTAAAGTTTCTTATTTTATTCTAAGAGTGACAGTTTGGATTTACATGGATGTTCTTGTAAAGACTCATTAGAAATAGCCTACTGGCTTTGGAGGTGGTTCTTAATAGCACTATGGAGTTCTACATATATGAATTAATTCATCTCATGATATTTTTCTACCATTTTTAAATCGTAACTTTTTGAGATTAAAAATAAGGTCTTGTTTGGAGGAAGGAAGAAACAGCTATGCTAGCTCAGCTATATGATTACTGCTAGCTTAGCTATGTGACCACGAGCCAAGTAGCTGCAAGCACATTTGGTTCCATGAAATAAAGGTTTATCCTATGCTCTTCGCTGGTTGGGTGTTTTTTGTGTCCATCATGCTTTAAAATTCTTGTAATATACTCCGTATAGATTTTGTCATTGTTGTTGGAAAATTTTTGCACATCCTCGAAGAGATTTGTCTTTTCCAGTGCAGCCTTGGGCCTCATTCACCAACTCTTCTTAAGACAAAATTTCTTCTTAAAACCAGCTTACACAGTTTTTATGAAGATTCTGATATTAACCAATGTTTTCTAATTTGGGATTTGTACTACACACACTCAAGAGCACAAAGGTGTGAACAGTTCTGTGGTTTAAGAACACGTCACGAATCTGACGTAAACTTTTTGACGAAAGACTTCTTAGGACTTTTCTCAAGAACAAATTTAAGAAAACGTGGGAGGATATTGGCAAATGAGGCCCATTGATTGCGTTTCATTCAGAAGTACTAATTCTTGTGCACTACTTTCTCTGAAAGCTCCATTGTCCCCAGTGAAATTGTACACAGGGTGCTTTGAACAGATAAGCAGAGAAAACAATGCTAATGGTGCCACTTTGAGTTTCATTTACAATTAACTGTACGTTTGTCTTGGTAGTTGACCAATTCTGTATAAGTACTTTTTGAATGTATGACGTGTGTCATCAAAATTAAATTCATTTCACTTTGTTTGACGTGTATGTGTGTTTAATAAACTTGCCAAAAGTTGTATTGCTAGCCAACAGTAAAATGTTAAAAGCTGCACTGCATTTACTAAAAACAGCCATTACAAAGACATTATGGCCCAATCCCATTTCTTCTCTTTACTCCTACCCCTTGTTTTTGAGTGTCACCCTAACCCCTTGGAACTGAGTTATAAGGGATGGTGGCTGAAATCTTCCCCTACTGTAATTTTTTTTCTTATTTGTGGGTTTCTTTGGTCTCTTGTTCAGCCATCTTGTCAGTTTTTCTTTTTTTCTCATAACACTCCGTTTGGATTGTGCCTCTGAAAAACCTCCGTTTGGAGGGCCATGTAGCCCTAACACTTCGCCCTACCCCTCTATCTCTACAAAAATGGGACACCCCACCCCTAAACATGAACTTGCAAAACAGAGGGCTATGGGCTAAGTGGTAGGGGCAAGGGGTGAAATGGGATTGGACCCGAGTGTTATTTAGTGATATGTGGTCTAAATGTTTTACTAAACAGTGTGTAACTAAAATAGTGGATGAAAGTGTTGATTGTAGACGTCATGCCTTTAGCTATGTTAAGCAGCACTTGCTGCTGGCACTTACTATAATTAAGAATAGCAACACTATAAAGTAGTTCTGGACTATATATTGTCCATACTGGCATACTGTAGTATTGAAACAGCTATGTCAGATTTTTAAGGCATTGCACATCTTTCACAAGTGCTCTTGGAATTTAAAAGTAATTAAACAGGAAGAGGTGAAGTGTGAACACAAGCCAGAGTCGAAATTCTAGTAGAACTGACACTGCAAATATACCTATACAATGCAATATATATATAATCAAATACTGTAATACAGCTGGAAAATAGAATGGCATTTAGCACAACAGCACCCAGCACTGCCGCAAATCTGCTTGGGAACAGTGTCTACTCTTTCTTTTCTTCCTTTCTTTTTATTATTTATATATATATAACAGAATATATATATATAGCAAGAGGATAGTGGGCTGATGGCAAAGCTGGTGGTCCGTTGGCGTTTTGCTCATTGTTTTCTGCGTGGCCCACCGGAGTATTATGGCTCATTTTCCACTCACAGTCCAATTTACTTGTTTTTCCTTCCTTCCTTTCTTTAGTTATACTTTGTAAATTAGTTGAGTAAATAATTTTAATCTAGCACAGTGTCAGCTACAATGTTTTCAATAAAATCATTTTTTATCAGTCCTAGTCATTTTTTTCCTCTCTGTTGTTTGTAATATTCGTCTTAGTTTGTTTTCCAAAGTAAAAGTCTTTGTGCATTTAAAATCAGTTTGAGGAGATTAAAAACTAGTTAGAGCTTGTATTCAGGACAGTAATCTGGGTGGTCCTATGGTCGACCAGCAGTGGGTGCCAACCTTATCAGGCCAGTGGACTGATATATGCTCGCTGTCTGGGAAGACTGTCAAGAAAATAAATAAAAGGAAATTACAATACTTAAAACTACGACGGCGTTTAGGGCCACTGTTAATAAAAATAAAAACAATAGACTTCGACAAAAAAGTCGTAATATTTCCAGAATAAAGTCGTAATATTCAGAGGATAAATAAAGTGGGCTAACTGTAGGGGGGCTGCCATAATGCGTTGGGGTCTCGGTTGCTGTACTGGCGCCGGAGTTCCACTCACTCTTGTCTCTTTGTGGATCAATGATTTTGATTATCAATCTCACGGTCTGTGACACTACATGCCCTCTTTGAATGGCACGGAGATGTAACCACTAATTCTACGACCTTTTTCTCAAAGAAGTATGACTTTTTTCTCAAAATATTACATTTTTTCTCTAAATAGTACGACTTTTTTTCTCGAAATAGTATGACGTTTGTTTCTCGAAATAGTACGACTTTTGTTTCTCGAAATATTACGACTTTTTTCTCGAAATATTACTTTTTTCTCGAAATAGTACGACTTTATTCTCGAAGTCTACTATTTGAATTTTTATTAACTGTGGCCCTAAAACGCCTTCGTATAAAACAGAGATGGGAAAGAAAGAAAACAACAAAACATGCACACATCTGAAAGGCAGTATCGGTCTGTTTCTGCCCGTCCGGACTCTGAAAGAATTGTGCAGTGTCCGTTCAGTTCTCTTAGTTAGGGCTCCTTTATTCGAACACGCCGCTTTGGAGCCGCGGGAGAAAATGGCTGCTGCGGTTGGTTGTTCTACACAGTGCAGACGCTGCCACGACTTGTTTAGTGAAGTCTGAGAGGTGCAGTCAATGACCCGTTTCGGTTTGAACTGAAAGTGTTGACGTGAGAAGGTGTCCGATTATGTGGCCCACAGTCGTTTATAGGCCGGTTATCACCCAATCCACGCTAAAGATTTAAGATACATGTAGATGACCCGAGTTTTCGCACCATTGAGCAAAGTTTGCGAAGTTTAACGTGCAGCTATCAGAGACGCCGTATTATCACGAAAGGGGAGGGACGAGTGTCCAAAGACACGGTCATTTTAGAGATCTTGTGCTTTGGTTACACGTTGGAACAGACCAGGGATGTCGAACCCAACCACTAAAAGGGCCGTGTTAAAAATCTCAACAAATCTGTGGGCCAGAGAGCGACTGCGTTTTGATTTCATTTTTAATTTACATTTTGATGCGACCCGAACTGACCATTATTTATTCAAAATATGCCAAAACAAACATAGGCAACTGTAGCAGACCTTGAAATATTCCATGCATACTTGACCTATTCAAAAATAACACCTGCCATCTTTTCTTTTTGTGGTGTAACCGCTGTTGGGGGAGTGGAGTCGGGGCACACATTACGTAGCAGTGCATGCTGGGGGTTGTAGTGCATCTTGTTGTGAAACAGGCTAATGTTAATGGAAAATAATAACAATACCCCGCGACCCAGAAGGATAAGCGGTTTAGATGATGGATGGATGAATAACAATACCCCGCGATCCAGAATGATAAGCGGCTTAGAAAATGTGTGTATGTGTGTGTGTGTGTGTGTGGAAATGAGTAATTGAGTTCCACAGTTTAGAAGCATAACAACTGAACGAGTCTCCATATTTTCTGTATTTTACAGAAGGTATTAGTAGAAGGTCAGTATCTGCAGATCTTAGACATAAACAGACAGACACTCTGTGATGTATCAGGTGCTTTGAGGTCATGTAGAGCCTTAAAAACTAGCAGCAGAACTTTAAAATCTATCCTGAACGATACAAGTAGCCAGGGCAGTTCTTTTAAAACAGCAGTGATATGATCTCTGTGTCATTGTTATTAATAATAATAATAATAATAATCATCATCATCATCATCATTTTGCAAGCTGGATAGGATTGTGTCATGAGCCTGACTTGGCCCATGGGCCTTGTGTTTGGCACATGGGGAATAGACTGTCCTGTACAGACAAAGCCTGCTGTTTATATGGTCACACTATACGAAAACGCTGTGCTACGTGAAACGCAGCCCGGCAGACAATTTCCAATAAAGCTGTTTTCATTCAAAACAACATACTTCGAGTCCTGAGCAAAAACACTGGGGCTGCATCCAAAACCACACACTGCCGTACTACATAGTGTTAAAAATAGTACACGGCCAATTGTAGTCCATTCATTAGTGTAATATGTGTAGTGCAGTAGTCCGTGGTTTTGGCTGCAGCTTAGCTGAATCTCAAATGGCTCTCTGCTCTCTACATAGTGGAATCAAAACTGTGCCTCCTTCTGCACGCAAACAGTACCTAATATGCCTAATAAATGGTCATTTGGGATTCAGCTGTGTGTGTACAACATACTGGACAGTGCGCTGCTTGGCATAGAAGCCAGAACTTACAGCGCATTATAGGAAGGAGGGCCGTGTGAGAGTTACGAAACTTAATTAAAAAAACACTGTAATCCCTGCTAAAAACATAGAAACCATTAAGTGTTTCTGTTGGTTGCTGATGGTTTTGTAATGTGTTTTGGCTTTTTAAAAGGGTTGATATCACTGTGTAAAGCCTATCTGCCATACGTAAGGCCCACGGGCCAGATCTGGCCCTCAAAATGCTAGCCCATTTCACAGTGAGCTGCACTACAATCCCCAGCATGCACTGCAATGTAATTTGCGCTGACATCCCCCCCTCCCTCAACAACAATCTGTGGGACAGCAGTTTTCTACCCAATTCCACACATCATATCCCCAAGCACACTAGCTGCGTTTCAGCTGCAGTTCATCCAACATGAACACTGTGAACACTCAGCTGTTGATGTTTTGGTGTATTAACATATAAAAGCTCTCTGGCCCACAGATTTGTTGAGATTTTTTAATAAGGCCCTTTTAGTGGTTGAGTTTGATACCTCTGGTGTAAAGGATCCTAATGGTTTAACAGGTGACCAATGGCTGATTCTAAATGCATTTGATGGTTTCCTAGTGGGATCTAAAGTTGTTCTACAGGAAACTTCCTCTAAACCTTTTTCAGCTGGGGCCACGTCTATACTCACAATTCTATTTAAACAGGGTAAAGTCAGCATTTACTAGCTTTGGCACTGCAAGGGTCGACTTTCTGCCTTTGTTTATGCGTGTTCATCTGTGCTGATCTGTGATTATTGATTGTGCGGTTTTAGTTGCGACTTTGAGAAAACAGTTTGTGAGATCTGCTCAAACTGTGAGACAAAGCAACCAAAATTCCTGACATGTCAGAAACCCGTCTGATTGTCCATCTGCTCAATCTGACCTCGATTGGGCCGTTAATCGGACAGAGGCGTATACCCTGTAATGACGGTCACCCTTCTGGTCACCCCAGTTATGGAAAGTGAATCAGTCAGCCATCCTCAGTAAAGCATCAGTTATGCTTTGTGGTGTAAATCTGCCTTCAGGGTCGTTACCAATCAGTTATAAGAATGCGATGATGCTACATTAATAATTAGTGTATCTTGCTGTGATTGGCTAATTTGCTGTGCAGATGGGTGAGTAAATGTGCGCTGGGTCCTTCAGCAGTGCTGCTTCGTGAGCTACATTAGCTACTATTTTTTTTTTATATTTTATTTTCAAATTTTAACACATTTAAACAATACAACACAAAAAAGACATAAACCCATCAATACAGACCCACCATCCCCGAGCATAGCCCAAACACCCATTAATTATTAAACAAAAAAAAACAAGAGTAGGGATAGAGAGAGAAGAAGAAAACAAAAAGTACATTCAAGGTCATTTTGGATGGTCCAAGAATGGACCCCAAACCAAGTTAAACTGTCTCTATGCTCCTGAGTCACCACTATGCAACCTCTCCATTGTAATAATATGAAGCATCTCTGATAACCAATGTTTAAAACATGGTGGAGAAGCTGATTTCCAGTTTAAAAGAATAACCACTTTAGCCGCAACCATACCAGCCATTAAGGCTTGTTGTTGAACATATGGAAAGGTGGACATTGAATCTGAGAATCAACTGATCGCAATGAGAGGGTCAGGATGTAAGTGTGTGCTAAGTATTTCAGAAAACCACTGAAAAACACTTAACCAGAAGTTCTGCACCAAAGACCAGAACAAGTGTCCTAAAGATCCTTTGTCTGTTTTGCGTTTATCGCAGACCGAAGACACAGAGGGCTATTAAGCTCATGCTCCCAGGCCTCCCTAAGATGGTTGGTGCTGGGGGGTGAAATGAAGATTGATACAAAGTGGGACACCAAATGTCTAGAAGATGGATCCAGACGAAACAATTGAAAAAGTGGATGGTCATCAGTTTTGACTGTAAAGTTTGGAATATTTTCTCTAACAAAATGCCTAAACTGTAGATACCGTAAAAATATAAATGAGAAAGACCACATTTTTCTTTGAGCTGCTCAAAAGAAACAAATCTCCCATCTACATAAAAGTCCCCAGTACTCTGTAATCCTTTGTCCTTCCACACAGAGAATGCCCCATCCAGCTGGGAAGGCTGAAATAAGTGGTTGTGTAAAAATGGAGCATAGATAGAAGTTGATGGAGCTTTAGTAAAACACTTAATCTGATTAAGAATGCTAAGCGAGCTCTGAAGTATAAAATTGTTGCCGACAACAGCCCTAGTAGTTTGGAAGAGAGGAAGAGAGGAACCTGGGAGAGACCTAGCCTTCAACTTAATCCATAATGGATTCAGCGATGCCTGGTCTAGAGATTCCCACTGCCTACAGCCCAGACATTAGCTACTATTTGATGGTTAGAGGAGTTAACTATGAAAATTTAGTCAGCCATCACTCTTAAAAAAAGATGGTTCTTCAATGGTTCTTTGGTAAAGAAAGTTGACCATGCAAACCCACTCTTTCCATGCTTAAATAGCTCACTGCATGGTGAAAGTGTTCTTCAGATTCATTGAGAAAGTGTTGTATAAGGCACGTGTTGTGGGTTCTCCTATACAGTGCTGGGCTTTCTGATCATTAGGCTCTTGTTTAACCTGTAGTGAGGGCAGCCTAAATGAATAACTAATACACTCTTAAGAAAGATGGTTCTTCAAGGGTTCTTTAGTAAAGAAAATGGTTCTACATAGAACCATGAACACTCAAAGAACCCCTTGCATGATTAATGAGTTTTTGCATCACAAAAGTGTTCTTCAGATTGATGGAGAATGTGCTGGAGATGGTTCTATATAGAACCTTTTTGAAAAGGGTTCTACATAGCACCCAAAAGGTTCGTCTATTGTTACGTTGTCAAGCTTGTAACGATAGAAGAACCCTTTTGGGTGCTATATAGAACCCTTTTCAAAAAGGTCCTACACTCTTTAAAAAGATGGTGCTTCAAGGGTTCTTTAATAAAGAAAATGGTTCTATATAGAACTTAAACACTCAAAGACCCTTTTGCATGCTTAAAGGGTTCTTTGTATGTTGAAAGGGTTCTTCAGACTGATGGAGAATGTGTTGTATATGGTTCTATATAGAACAGCTTTTTGAAAACGCTACTATATAGCACAAAAAAGGGTTCTGCTGTTGTTAAAAGACATCATCACAACAGCAGAACCTTTTCAAAACGTGCTATATATAGAACCATATACAACACACTCTCAATCAATCTCAAGAACACTTTCATCATGCAAAGAACCATTTAAGCATGCAAAAGTTTGTATGGTTCATGGTTCTAAGTCAACTTTCTTTACCAAAGAACCCTTGAAGAACCATCTTTTCTAAGAGTGACCGTTGACTAATTTTTGATAATTAACCTAATCTAACCATCGAATAGTAGCTGATGTAGCTCACAGAGCAGCACTGCTGAAGGACCCAGCGCACATTTACTCTCCCATTTGTTTAGCAAATTAGCCAATCACAGCACGATATGCTAATTATCAATGTCGCATCATCACACTCTTATATAATTATTTATTATAAATGTGCATGAATGTGCTGTAGATGGTTTTATATAGAACCTTTTTGAAAAGGGTTCTTCTATTGTTACAAGCTTGACATCGTAACAATAGAAGAACCCTTTTGGGTGCCATATAGAACCATTTTCAAAAAGGTTCTGTTTAGAACCATCTACAGCACATTCTCCATCGATCTGAAGAACGCTTTCATGATGCAAAGAAACTTTTAACCATGCAAAGGGTTCTTTGAGTGTTCATGGTCCTATATAGAACCACTTTACTTTACTAAAGAACCTTCGAAGAACCAGCTGTTTTAACAGTGTATGAAATGGTTGTCTAATTAAGGTTGTGCACTGAAAAAAGTGATGCATTTCAATTACTTGATTAAAACACATGATTTCCTCGTTATTGACTGAAATATATTACATTAAAACTTCGTGCAGTTTATTCTCGGCAGTAGTTTGTACTGATATTTTATTCATGGACTGACTTTAATTATGTATATTAGTTATGTACAGAGAAAAACATGCACCACGCGTGTAACTTTAATACAGTAACGCTATTTAATTAATTGATTAATTGATTTATTTTCAGCAGTGTGCCACCCCATTCTAAAAGTTCTAGCTATGCCCCTGACCAGGCTTGGCTTCCCATCTCACACTGCACGGCAAACGACGGACAATAAAGCTGAAATTGGGTCCAATAATAAAATTCAGTCGGCTACGACCAAATCGGGCTAAAATCGCAGTGTGCGCTGGGAAATCGCTTGCTCTTGGTTAGCTGTTGTGTATTATAGCTACGTGCCTCAGTGGGATGTTTATTCGTATTTGCTCAAAGAAACCAGCTTTAACTAGTTCTGCACTCAGCATCGTCATTACAAGCGATGCTCATTACAAAGTTCGTGTCCCAGCTGCACGCTGTAACCCACTGTGGCAAATCGTGGCATGGTTTTAATCGTTTATTCTCATCAGTGATGACCACTAATAAACCGAGACAAGTCCGAACTGCACACTGTCCACGCTGCAACGTGACCCCTAATCAGTGCTGTAAGCTATTTCGGGGGGAACGTTCCTAACGATCCCTGCAGCGGTTTGTAATTTAACGTGGATTTGTAGCTACTCAACTTCCTCCGACGCTCTGCACATGCTCAGTAGCGCGCGGAAAGTATCGCTAATCGAAGGCACTCGCGACGAGAAGGGGCAGCAGAGCGGCAGGAGCGGCTGCACGAGGCGCCGTGTGCTGGTTTGGGCGGTAAGAAAGCTTTTACGCTACATTTAACGGACGTTTTAAAGGGATTCCGTGACAGTTGCAGCTCGCTCGTTTGTTTGGTTAAATCAGCGCGCGCGAGTTCTCGGTTAAAATTCAAATTCGAATTAAAATTCGAAATGACCGTTATGATAAATATCGGGGGGAAAGGAACGACGAGGCTGGCGGGCTGTTTTTTCCGGCGGCGGTGGCGGCAGCGTGGAGCGACCCGATGCTGATTCAAAGGGAGTGCGGGAGGGAGGAGGGGCGGCGCGGACGGGGGGCTATGGCGTCAGATATGGGCCAAAAGGCTTCTCAGCCGTGCCGGCCCCCCTCCTGCTCGTAATAAATAGCAAAATAAAGTCAGGTATCGACAATATCTTAGTTTTGCGACCGCGCGCCACCGCTCCTAATAAATTAGCGAATCCCCGCCGCAGTTTACAAAGCTGAACTTCGCCCCTTATAGGAATTGTCCGTTCCACCTTAAATTTAAGGTGGAACTGATCATTCCAATAAGTTGGAAGTTGGCTTCCAATAAGTTCCAATAAGTTGGACTCATTATATTACACTCCTATAAATTGGAGGTTTAGCTCTTATGGGGATTGTCAGTTCCACCTTAAATGGTGCAGGCGCTAGAATGTAACTGCTGCATCATTTAAGGTGGAACGGACAGTTCCATTAGGAAGCCAACTTCAGCTTTGTAAACTGAAATTTTGCATCTAATTCGTGCACAATCTCGAGTTTCGGATTAAAGAGACCCAGAAGGGGCTCGACTTTCTTTTTTTTATTTGTTCAGCCGCATTTAAGGATGTTTTTGAGCAACTTATTCTCAGGAATGTTTTACTTCAAGTACCTGCAAAACACAAAATCTGTCTACAGGAGCTGACAGCGTGGTAATTTTGCTGTTCTTTGCTTGACCAAGAGGTGGTCCAGCACTTTGACTTCTTGCCGTGTTGTTGTTGTTGTTGTTGTTAGCAAGTCACCCCTCCACTCAGAGGGTCGTGCTAGCCGGTTCTAGAAAGTGTCTGTTTTTAGTTTTAGTACATTTTAATTCTGTGTTGTGCGCGGGCGGCCTCGTTGGGACTCTAACGAGGCTGCCTCCACTTTTAGTGGACGAATCTGAACTTTCTAACTTATTTTAAATGAAACGAAAAGACTCTCTTGCTGCCCAGTTTGCTTAGCAGATGAGCTAGCTTAAAGGGGAACTCCACCGATTTTTCAAAAATTCTGCATAATTAAATGATTAAGGTGTAAACAAAGTCTCCCAGAGTGGTTTGGTGTGAAATACTTCGTTCTAAAGAAACTCAGCGAGTCAGAATTGTTTACAGTGGCGGTGATAGGAACCAGACGTCCACCTCTAAATGCTTCATCACTGAAAGCTATTACCTGAAATGGTAATGAATACTCAGTCTGATGTCTGAGGCATTGCATTACGGTAGATTTGTGATTCAAGTTTTGGCCTAAAACCAAAAAAATATTTTAATCAATTTATTTTATTCCAGCCATGGTGGAGGGATACGTGAAAGCTTTACTTAAGGCAAAATAGTCCCCAAAGAAAACCTTTTTCCAAGATTTTCCAATAACTTAATCATCAGTATTTACATATTAAAAAAACTCACACATGTAGGTTTACTGGTGGTTTTGGATTGTAAATGAAATGGCTATATTTGTGTTGTAGACATTGTTACATCTGGTTCCTATCACCACCACTTTAAAGAAATCAGTAAGTTTCTCTCAGTTGCATGTGAGCTGGTATCATTTCTAAGTTCACTACAACAAGTATCCCTAAACTCTGGATATCACTCTCAGATTGTTATGGTTTTACTGTCATGCATGGCCTGATATGGGGGGACACCGAAAGGTTGCTCCAAAGTGCAGGTTTTAAATTATTTTAATGATCTGTTAACACTTTTTTTCCAGTCTTAAAAAACTTTAAACTTAAGTGAAACCATCCCAAGACCTATTTGGCAAAAGGTTACCATCAGTGGGTTCATGGTAATGGGGCACTGTTGCCCAGTCACACCAAAGGCCACAGGATCTTAATCTGGCCTGGCTGTCATGACACAATTTTCAAACAAATCCATTTCAATTGTTGCATTGAAGGGGTCAGAAAGAGGTTGCATACTATTTCCCTTAATTATTTGGTAGTTTACTGGACAATGAGCAGAAAGAGGATTACAAAAGTCTAACCTGCAGTATAAGCACTGAAGTGTCCACTCACTCGCTCTAATTAGTTAACACAGGTACTTGGATGACTTGCTAACACAGCTTGTAACTCCATAGAAAAGCACTGACCGATAGAATATGACACTCAGAGCAGCCGAGGGTCACCATGCCCAATGCCAAGTGTCTGCTAGAGGAGTGTAAAGCCCTCCCAGCATTGGGCTGTTGAACAGTGGAACTAAGTTCTCTGGAGTGATGAAGCTCCATCCACTATGTTTGCAGTCATTTTTGGATTCAGATCTTTTGTGGCTGTATTCAGTCAAATCCTCACAGCAGCATTCCAGCATCTAATGTAAGGTCTTCCCAAAAGAATATAGGCTGTTACTGCAGCAAAGAGGGGACTGCCTCTAAATAGCCTTGATTTATAAGTCCAAACATGGGATTAGCAGGTGTCTAAAAGCTTATGGGTATATAGTGCGATTCTCAACAAATGCATGAACAAAACTCAAAGGAACGTTGTGAGCTTTGTCTAAGACGCCAGTGGGGTTTCCATACTCGCCATGCTTATGTTCATTTGCATAAACTTGAAAATTACATGCGTATTTGTGGAGTGTTAGCATGCCTGCTGTGAGGTTAGCTGTAGCCATCATGGTCAAAATCTTTCTTGATGTTCTACCAGAAGAGATTTTAATGTGAATAGACTCCTGTTCATAGAGTGGTAGTTCAGTGACAAGTCAGATTAGCACACATTTCCTCTCACCCCAGATGTGGTTAGTCAAGAAGTGTTTGGTGTCAGATGTTTAGTTTAGCTCTGGAGCATCTAGGCTACTGTAGCTAACAGCTAATGGAAGCCTAAACTCCTTCAGTCAGCTCTTGCACAGTCAATACAACTGTTAAGTAAAGTCAGAGACTTGCTTATATGTCTTTGTTGAGGCTGTATGACTTCCTGTTACGGTACAAATAGACCAGAATACGTATCATATCTAAATACAGCAGTCACAGTAGCCATCTTAAAGACGAAATTGCTGTTGTCCATTTTCTCTAGAGCAAAACTGATGCTGCAGTTGTTGTGGCCTTTTTTTTTGCTGCCCATAACCCATTAAGCACATTTTCAGTGAGCCAAAGTATTTTAATCATAAATATATCGCTGCGGTTGGAACAAAACCTTATATGTCCAAAATGGTAACTTTACAGGAGAATGAAAAAACATGCTGTACTTTTAATGCAAGTCAATGGAACCAGACGCTTTTCCAAGTCATTTTGGGCCGTTTCTTTTAGTCCATTCATTGTGAAATTTACACACAATGTAAAGGGCAACAGGGATTTCAAAAATGGAGATACGAGGTTTTCTTCCGACAACAGCGATACGCTGTCAGTACAGCGGACTAAGATACAGAACACAGCAGAGCCGCTGTAAATATGTCTCCCTGTCACTGTTGTGTCTAAGCCATACAGACAAGCTAACCTGTTACAGTCAGACTAATTGTGTAGATGCAGATAAATCATTACAATATTATAAAAACATTATTTTTAATAACATTAGTTTTGTAGCTGCAGAACTACTGCAGAGCAGGCCTGATGTCATTCCTCAATTTGGTTACTGCCAGTCTAAATGTAACATATATGAATAAAGGTTAAACAAATGATTAACCTGAAGTTTTAGACTCACTAGCTGAAATAGTTAGACTGAACAATATCTGCTGTAGAATATTTGGCCATTTCCACATTTGTCTTTTTTGCTATAATTAATCTGCTTAGTGTACATTTGATTGAAGAAAAAAAAGCTAAAAAACAACAAACCTTTCCAGGCTCTCAGATACAGATTATGTCATGATGCTAAATTTGTATGTTTCTCCTTATTGGATGATTTGGAAATTGACTGTCCCCCCATTCTTTTACTGATTAGGCTAGTTATTTGTTAGGCTAATTATTTCCTTCACAGGGATATGTTCAAATAATCTGCAGTGTCGTTTCTCTCCTCCCTCATTATTATTTGCCATAAATCTGTGCGCCTAGTGGTTTTGCCATGGCTGGCTTCCTCACATCCAGTGCATTGCCATAGTAATGGCGCTGCATTGCAGATATCGAGATGGAGGCCGTTTTTATTGGCCTCCCTGTTCGCTCTGCTCGGCTCACTGGAATACCATCGCCATGGCAACCGCTCGTGGATTTCTTTTTTTTTTTTCCTCCTCCCTCTAAAAATTCTCCATCACGTTCCAGTCGAGCGTGTTGTGCTAGCCTGAGGCCTCAGGCTGTTGAAAGGGATTTCTTTCAAATGAGGATTTTTTTTATTGCCTATTGCTTCCTAGCTTAGATTGAGTATTAGCTATTAATTGGCTTAGGTCTGATTGACTTTTAACAGATGCTCAATCAAATCAATTTGTTTTTGTTTTTAGCAGAGTAATTGGGAGCAAAGAGAATTTTCTTCTTCTTTTTCTCCATACAGTTTTTTCTTGTTATTTGACTCATTCTCCTCAATTGCTAATACATTTAATTGCTGTGTGGTTAAGGTTTGTGTAATCATAGTTAGACCAATGTTTACTAGACCAGTACAGGTCTCTAATGCAATAGTGGATTAAATTAGAAACACAAATGAGTAGGCCAGCAGACTTAAATACTAAATAATGAATAATTCAATTTTTTTATTTCATACCATTGTATGCCATTCATTTTTCAGTTTCTCCGTAATTGTTAACAAGTATAGTTTGGAGGAATAGATCAGGATCTACTCAAACCCTTTTGACTTTTCCCAGCAGCTTAAAATGAAAGCAACCTCTACGTTTCACACGGACTGAACTCCACAGCGGATAAAAGGATGTGAATCCCTCCCATGTTCACTTTTCCTGGGATGAGTCCAGCTCCACTGGCTTGTGAACGTGATAGTGATGGATGAAATGACGGAGGAGTCAAGGGGGCAGACGGAGACCAATCCTGGTTTGTTGGACAACGTGGTCCAGGTCAGTGTTGACGCCGACGGGATTGTCGTGGAATTAGAGGACGCTGAGGATGAACCACCTCCTGATTGGCTGGAACCATTGGAGGAGGACTATGTTGAGGATGGCAAAGAAGGGGTGGAGAGTGAAAGGAGCACTCAGACAAGAGCCAAAAGGGGTGGATGGTATGTATTTTAGGCTTTTTCCTTGTTCTTTATGTTTCTGTATGCCTTTTGTTTACTTTATCCTGCTTGTGTGCCAGTTATGGTCAGTGATCTGTCATGACTAATGGATGGACTGTATCAGCATGTTATTTCACTTGACTGTACTCTTCACCTGGTCCAGACTCATTAGCACTCACGGTAGGGCAGCACAAAATATAGTTTAATAGCTATTGCAGTATTGACCTGCACTGATGTTGCAGAAACCAATCACAAAATTGCCCATTGTGTGCTGTGAGCATTCACCGGTGTTGCTTGATGAATTTGCCTTGCCTTTTATGGGTATATATTGGTCAAAATAATGGAGACTAGTCTGAAGCCCAATCCCATTTCTTATTTTTACCTACCCCTTGTTTTAGTGTCCTCTTGCCCCTTGGAACTGAGTTACAAGGGGCAGTGGTTGAAATCTTCCTCTATGAATTGGGACCCTCAAATAAAAAGAACATTACTTCATTAACAGCTACTAGTGCTGCTCTGTAGGCGACCCTGCCAGTCTGCAGTGGCAGCAGAGGAGGGTAAAGTTCAGCTCCTCACTGCTGGGCTTTAGTTACATTTAGGGCATCATATGCCTTCAAGGGGGGGGGGGCTTCTTGTTTTAATTTTCCCGTTCCACCTTAAATGGTGCAGCGGTTTTGATGCCTGACTGACGACTGCTGCACCATTGGAGGTGGAACAGGAAATTTAGCTAGCTAGCTACCAAAACATCAGCATACTACTAGTGATTATTTATTTATTTATTTATTTATTTATTTATTTTTGTTTTGTGCTTATGAAGAAAAGGACCAAATACATTGAAATGACATTAAACTAATATAATACAATGGTTGTCGTAATTTTTAACAGAGAAAATACTCACTTTTGTTTTGTTTTTTTTGTTTTTTTTTTGGTCACTTGTGCAGCCATCTTGCTCTGAAAAACCGTTTGGAGGGCCATGTAGCCCTAACACTTCGCCCTACCCCTCTATCTCAACTAAAATCGGGACGCTTTTCAGCTGGCTCTGTTTTAATATAGTAAATAAAAAAATAAGTGACGTTGGCTGAAAGGATGATGTATTTTGAAATCAGTAGTCCATAAACGGCATGGCTAAATAATGCTGCTGTTACCAGGGTTACATTTTGAAAACTTAGTCTTTTCCTCTGTGTATTGGCCTTGAGATGGCACAAAAACAGCATTTTAGGTCACTGAAAACAGAGCTTTTGGAAAATGTTCTCCCAAATTTGGTGAAGGACGCATCTTGTGAGGATGTTGGTGAATTATCTACTATGGTCATCATGTCATCAGTATAATGATTTTGCATTTGAAATCTAAACATCGAGCCGGTCTTTCTTTTTGAGCCTGTGCGTGTGATGTGTAGACGTATGATGTCGTCTGAAAACTCCCATTAAGTCTGACCTGTCATCTGTGACCTTTAAATTATAATTTCAAGCTTTACAGGACGACTCACAGCGGCACACACACCATATTCTGGCATGTTTCTGTTTCTCATGCTGCTACTTTCAATTTTAACAAAAAGGTCTTACATAGTGCAACTTTAATTATGGCCAGAATGGATGTCATAAGTCATTAAATATAGATTAAGCAATTAGGAAACAATGGCAATATTTGGCAAGGCATATTGTAGTTACAGTATGTAGCACTACATTTGCAACATGATAGTTGTCCATGTCCATGGAGTGCAGCCCACAGCGAATGCAGTCCTGTGCCATGCATTGACAGTCAAACATCTAACAGCTTTGCTTGTGTCTCACAGGCGTAAAGGAAAAAGGCGGAAGGTGGTTTTGGATGATGGGTGGCTGGACTGCCCTGACCTGGGCAAAGGCTGGAAGAGAAAAGCGATCTATCTCCGCACAGGCCCTGCCATGGGCAGAAAAATAATGCACTACATGAGGTAGAGGAAAACCCGCTTAATAATTGGGTTTGAAAACACTTAGACTTCCACTGTCACCGTTTGCTTTACAAATCTTTATTCTAATGTTTTTACAGTCCAAAGGGCTTCCGAGTCAGGAGTAAGAAAGAACTTAACAGACGTGTCAAGGTTGACTTGACTCACTTTGACTTCAATCAAGGCATATTTGTGGATGGTGTTATCACAACAAAGGTAACTGCTGTACATTTTCAAAATAACTTTGTTTTTATAAGTGTTGTGTTGGTCTCTTGCTAGTTTATGAGGCACATCTCCCATTATTAGACATTCTACACTACTACGCAAAAATCAGGTCACACTCTGTTTTCTTGTAGACTTTTCCTGATTTGTGCAGCTCAACAACCTTTTATGGCACACCATTGCTGTATTCTCTGGTCTTTCTCATGGTGATACAAAGAAAATTTGGCCTGTGTGTCATCTCATATTTATACACCAGTGAAACTGGCTGACCATTACTGACCATTTAAGTGCTCCTAATGGCTCAGGTTAACTTTAAAACATGAATTATTGGGAATATACTTCAGTTAGATTTCACTCATAAGAGGTTAAAAGGGATCAAACCATTTTGGCACACATAGATTTGAGAAAATATTTATTTCATGATTTTTAAATAAAGGCAAGATTTTTCATAATACGTTGAATGAACAATTAAAAGGATGACCAACAAAGTGTTTTTATAGCCCATTTTGCTCATGTTTACCAGACGTGCCCGTGTTTGTGGAGGGCTCTGTATATTAATTATACTCTGTGGAAACCTTTTCTTTAGAAGCAGGATGTTTGCATCTATGTATCGTAACACCTATTTAGCAACTTACTAGGCTAATATTAAAGACATGGCTAACTTGCAGCTAAGCATAACATTCCTGGTATATGTAATGTTACACTACTGTTTTTTCTGTGCTTTAGAGGAAGGGTTATACAGCTCCCTCCTTTTCTCCTCCTAATGGATTAGTTTCTCCTTATCTATTTTTGTCTAGCGGGAACCTCACCGTGATGCAGTGTGATGCGATGCATCAAAGAATAGAAAAGGGTGTCCATCAAACCATCCAGCATCACACCTGAAGCTTCTTTAATAATAACAGGAGCTTTCTGGCTTTGCTGCTGTCACTGGCTGCACTTACTATTAGGACAAGGTGTAATGTGACCCATTCTATAATGGGGAATGCTGACTTTTGTCCTGTTTTGCTTTCTCTAGTGTCGAAGATCCACACGTTCCAGCCTTTCTTCCTCCAAGGCCAACACTCCGAACCATAACATGATCCGCACTCCTGACAAATTGACCAGAACCCCTCAGAAACCCCACCTCACTCCCAACACCCTGGCAGCTAGTGTGGTTACACCTTCAGCCTCCAATGACCCTTACAACAGCCCACCACAGCTCACTCGAGTTTCGCCAGTAGCCCCCCAGGCCCAGCTACCCAGCCCTTCACCTTCTCTAAGATTGGGTGACCTCTCGCCCCAAATTCTCGGCCATTTTACCACTCCTGAAAAAGGCAAGGTTGCTCTGCTTGCCCACTCCTGGCTCCAGTCCCCTCTGGCCCCTCTAAGCCCAACTGAGACCCCTGAGAGAGACCCATTCACACATGCCAGTGCACTTACAAGCTCTCCAGGCTTCCAACTGCCACTGGACTCCAGTGCAGTGCTTAACGGAGGAAATCGGGAGAATGGTCTCTCTCTCAGGTGAGTACAAAGGCACTCTGACCACAATGAACACCTTTTGTTCTCGTATTTGCAGTTGACTAAAATGTTCAGGCAAAAAATGACCGACCAAACGACGTGTATCAAAATTTCTTTACAGTTCAGATTTTCTCCATAGTTCCAATTATTGAGTTGTAGGCAGTCATTCAGAGTGGTTTGATGTGAGATGGTGCTTTATTGTCATCGTTGTTAAACAGTGTTAGTACTGAAGCTTAATTTTTATCAGTGCATTTCTAAAGTTTACAACAGTCCAACAAACGCGTTTTACCACAACAGCCTTGGACTTCTTTACAGTGGTGGTGATGAGAACTAGGGAACAAAATGTCTACAACACAAATATAACCATTTTATTTACCATCCAAAACCACCAGTGAACCTACACGTGTCTTCTGAGTTTATATATTTAATGTTGGAATTGAAAATGAGTGGTAAATCCGGAGGGAAAAAAAAAAAATTGGAGTTTGCCTTAAAATAACGTGTGGACTTTGCAGACATGAGTGACTTGGATACATACGCTTTAGTCCTTAACCCGATCTCAAAGCTATCGTAAAACATCGTCTTGGGCATCAGACAGCATATTCATAACCATTTTATGCAATACATTTCTGTGAGGCATTAATCTCTTCAGATGTCTGGTTCCTATTTGATGATCTATTATTCTTTCACAGTCCTTTATTGTTGTATTGGTGTAGCACCGATACCAATGTGGTGTCAGTAATGATGGCATATAAATACCGTATTTCAGAAATAGAGATTGCATGACTGATACGGGCACCATGTCAGCAATGTGGGATTGTTTCGCGCTTAAGACCAGCAGTAGTAAAAAATGCTCACTGCAAAATCTGTTAAGGTCATTATTTTGAGGGGTGGCACCAACAGCAAGGACTTCAGTACATCAAATTTAATTATGCAGTTTAGGATAAACTATGCCAGTGAGCACTGCGAATTTTCATGCCGAAACCAACCCTGAAAGCATTCAGTTGTGAAGTCTTTTTTAACCAGTAAATGCCATTCACTTAAGCTAAGTATGTTTGTGGTGAAAGTGAAATTATATAAATATCAGGATTTATTGGCACCTATCAAATAGTTAGGGTAGACAGAGTTCTGATTAGTATCACTCTGTATTAGCAGACACCTGAAGATCAGGAAAAAAGTGCGTCCCTAGTTGCAAGCATTGGTTTAATTTTGCAGCCAACTGCCCAATAAGACACAGCAGAGACTGCTTTGTGTTCTGTGCAGTTTTCCAATGAAAATGACTAATGAATTTTTGTTTTCTTGTAGTGGCTGTGCAAACTGTGGCTGCAAATACCCTGGCACTGGCAGTGGAGAAGAGCTGTGTCCCAAATGCACATGTGTGTGTGAATATTATGCTACACAGAATACTATACAACATTTTTTAATTGCAAAAACAATGTCTTCAGAGTTTAAAAATAATGGTCTTTTTCCCTCCTCAGCGAAGAAGAGGCAGCGTTCTCCTCATATTATCTTTAAAAAGGTAAGCATTTATTTTATATTTACTTGTCTCTTCCTTTTGCTCACTGTCTCTTTCTTTATTCTTTGTATGTCTAACCATTTAACCTAAAATCCACCACTGCTGTTATTTTCTAGTACACTATGCACCAGTCATGCACCAAAATAGTCTGATTTCAAAACAACGTCTCAGGCATCAGACCACATATTCATAACCATTTCATGCAATAAATTTCTGTGAGGCATTAAACTTTTCAGACATCTGGTTCCTATTTGATGATCTGTTATTCCTTCACTGTCCAAAATGTTGTATTGGTATAAAAATTCTTGGCCATAACAAATTCACACACCTTGGCTGAAAACCAAAAAATCAAAAAGCTGGAGAGAAAATAAAACCAGTTTAAAATAAAAAATATGTAGAATAAGCTGCACTGTGTAAGATTTGGGGATTTGGAGACCTCTCTGGTGGAAATGTGTAAGTGCATGGAATGTGGAAAAGAACATTTTATAACATAGGTTGTGGTTTTCACCCCTTTCACCAAGCGGGTGTTCAAAGAGAACTTGGTCAAAACTTAGTGAAGGACGTGTCTTTAGAGGATAGAAGTGAATTATCTACTATTGTCATCAGACTTTCATCAGTGTAATGTTGCATTTGCAAAATACCTTTTTAGAACCTCAGTAATGCTGCTTCTTTCAATTTTACCAAAAAATATAAGTAATCATACATAGTGTAACTTTAATCAATATTATTGTCAGCAATATTATTATTGTTGTCAGTTTTTGGTTACATTTTTCAGCAGTGTGCGTCACGAAATCCAGCGTCCCTCACAACAGAATTGTTGGTCATTCAAGGTGTAGATTTTCAGTTTGTTTAATCTTTGTTCAACAACTTTTAGTGCCCAAAATTTCAGTGCATCCCTAATGTGTACTATAAAGTAGCGTCTTTTCCATCTGTGTGCATGTATGGACCTCGGGAATTTCATACAATTAACCCTTTCTCTTTCATAGTTTTTACATTCAAACCTGCTTGTGGAGACACTAACATTTTAACTCGTGTGGGGCTTCTTTTCTGCTGCTTTCTTTTATTTCGGATCAGATGAACCTGAAATCTGCCTTTTAATTGGCTGCTTCTTGTAATTAACCATGAGACTGAAACCTGATCAGAGAACTGTGAAAATGTTTTTGTATTTTAATATGCATTTGAGTTTGGATCCTAACTGGGTTAATTTGATATGACTTCTCCCGAGGTGGGGCAAGATAAGTGGGTGGTTGGGAAAACAAAAACCGAAGGCTTCCTGGTAAGTATCTTACAGAGGGGTTTGTGTAATTTCTGCTGATATAATAATACAGACATATAACAATTCTCTTACCATTGCAGTCTGAAAAGCAACTTGTGCAGAAAATGTGTTTTTGTTTTTCAGAAAAAGAAGATTTCTCCTCTGGGAAAGAAACATTACGCTTCTGTGAGTACAAAAAAAACCCCAAACACAGATTACTGACATTATAATAAGTAGTTAAAGTAAAAGCTTATGAAAGTAGATTTATTATACAAACTGAAAATCCAAAAAAGTGGTAGCTTTAGGGGAGAAGGCAAGAACCTTCTTTACTTTTAATGCAAGTTATTATTTTTTTTCTTGTAATTTTGGACATTTTTTACTGGTCCATTTGTCATGATTTTTTACACAATGTAAAGGACAGCAGCTTTGTTATGTATAAAAATAATAAAAAAATAATTTCTTTTTTGATAGCAGCGATATCTTTAAATACCCTTCTTAAAATTTCATAATGAGATATAATAAAGCTCTATAAGTGGTTATGCCACAACACTAGGAATGTACTGATTTACAATTCCTTTCTATATATGACTCTCAATTCAGTACTTTTTTCAATGCAGCAAAAATGAGGATTTTTTTTATTTTTTAATTTTTTTGCATAGAAGTCAAAGCGAAAAAGTTTATGATAGAGTTGCACTGTTCACTTGTGCTGACATAACATTCTTTGTTGTGTGTTTCATTTGATGAGTTCATTCTGTCATACTGCTACCTAGTGGTATAATAGTGTCTGCACTGGTTTATATTGTGCTTTGTAAAGAATCTATAAAATTCATCAGGGATCAGAGTGTATAATCACATAATGGATCCCGACATATTTGAGACATTCTAAAGCCTCATATTAGCCTAGAGCTAATACATGTATTGCACCCCAACATAACACAAATATTCCAACATAACACACACATTGCGCGGGAACATGTATAATATTAAATAACCAGCAGGGCTTTATAAGATTTAGCGAGAGGGATCTTGGCAGTCTCTGTTATTAACATTGTGTGTGACTTGCAGAGCTTGACGGCCAAACGGGTAGAAAAGGAAAAAATGAAGGAAATCAAGAAGGTAAGCTTTTGAATAAGTTAAGCAGCGTTAGGCCTAGTTACATTAGATTATAATCAAGCAACAAGCTGCATTTTTAATTCAAAAAGTAATTTAAAATTGATCTTTGTTTTATCTTAATAGCAATTCCACTTTTAATGCAGTGTATAACTTTATAATACACAAAATGCCCAACTGAATGTGTGTTTGGTAATTGTTATAATGTTTGATGTTTTGTGGGAGCAGCAGGACAGTGAGGATGATGACCATGTGCCTGATGGTGCTGATGACGATGACCAAGATGTGAGTATAAAGTCACAGTACAGAATCTTTGCCAATTTTTTGTTCTTTAGCTGTATTTCTGTCACAGTGGCACTTAAAAGTAAACATGTTTTTAGTAGTTGTAATAAGAAATGGTTTTTAACTTTTTCTCTGCCATAGCAGCTGCTTTTCCTAAGGCTAAGTACTTGAGTCTAGAATAATAGTTTTACATATTTAAATAAAAGAATGTTTTTTAAAGTAAGCATTCTGGATACTGTGGCTAATGCCTTTGGAGCCTATGTTGAGAATGACTCTGCTTTTTTTTTTGTTACCTTCCTTTTTTGCTCCTGTGTCAATTCTGTTCTGTGAACAGTTTGGGCCGAAGAAACGCAAACGGCGGATGTGTGGCCAGTGTAAGGCCTGCCTCCGTGACCAGGACTGTGGCAAATGTGATTTCTGCATGGACAAGCCCAAATACGGTGGGAAAAACAAGAAAAGGCAAAAATGCCGTTATCGCCAATGCCAGTTTCACTCTCGCCTCAAGGTAAATATCATTTTATGCCAAGCTGAAGTTCAGGTTTGAGCATGTTCAAAATTTTAATGATTTATTTTCTTTTTGTGGATTTAATAATTGCAGAGACATGACCAGGCAAAATATGCTGCCTTTACTTGCGTTCACTTCACTTGTACATATATCAGCGGGGAACCTTCTAGGCAAGATGATTTCTGCGAAGAAAAAAAAAAAGATTTATAGTTCATTTTTGTTTAATTTAATCATCATATTTGTATTTAAACTCTGCAAGTATTGTAGCAGTTCTCTTATTTCATTAAGATTTGGTTGGAAACAAAAGGCTTAAATTCTTCAACCGCCCAATGGAAAATTACCCAGCCTGGGTTTTTTTTCTCCATAGTCTTTAGGTACAGTCAAGTGTGCTCTCCCATTGGTTAGGACTTCAGGAGCTGGACCGAAGGTCTAATGTGTTAAATTATCCACTTACATAATTAGGAACTAACAGTGGAATCAGTCATGTTTTCATTTACAATGAGTGGGGCCAATTTAGTGCGAGGAAATCGCTGTGAGTACGAGTGCTAGCCAGAACCACTTTGTGTGTTCTGAAAAAGTCACTGTGAAACTGCTACAAGGTAAAATATGTTAATGTCTGAAAACATGACGTCTTTTACAAGCTTAGACTGTCTGCGTTTGATCTAGAACGGCCAAAAATGTTCAAGTGAATTGTCGTTAACATGCTGCTAACATAGCACTAAATTTCCATAGGTGTGATAGCAGACATTAGCATTATCATAGAGGTTTTCTTACCCCCTGATCTTTAAAACTTTTAGTGACTTTTAGTGCATCGTGTTGTTTTGATAACTTGCGTATTACACGTTTCAGAATGTCAGCTTATTACACTTTTTAAGGTAGACATATGGAATAGGCTGTAGAGCTTATTCTAACATGCTTGATTCATTAACGATGACTGTAAAGAACTAGATTAGGCTTAGAGTAAACTCCTTTGGTAGAAAGATCTCAGTCAGGCAGGTTTGAACTCTGCAGGGTGGTAGATCTCCAGGAGCAAGTTCATGACCAGAGTTTTAATTCAACACAACTGAAGGAGTTTGGCTATAACTCATTATAGCACACGGCATAAGGTAGGGCTTCACAGTGAGCGTTTGTTAATCATTACTGCAGAATTGGCCTTGTGAGTCAACCATGACTCTGTAAATATATGTCTGTTTTTCATTTAAATATCAGGGCATTTTGTTATAGCTTCAAGTGGACAAAATAAGATTAATCAGAATGTATTTATTACTACTTTGAGTAATCAGTAAAGTTTTTTTTATCTTCATCACTGTGTTTTAATACACTTTGTGTCCAAAAGTATGTAGACACCCATTCTAGTTAATCAGTTTAGCTCAGTTATGTGTTCAATCGCACACTCACAGCTTGTCTAATCTCCATAGAAAAGCATTGCTAATAAAATGGGACACTCTGGAGCAGCCACACACGAGGGTACTATAAGCAATGCCAAGCGTCAGCTGGAGGGGTATAAAGCCCCTCGGCGTTGATCAGTGAAGCAATGGTACTGCGTTCTCTATAGTGATGGAACTCCATACAGTACTTCTGGGATGAGTTGGAGCAACCCAGAACTGATCATCCAACATCAGTACCTGACCTCAGTAATGCTCATGTGGCTGAATGGAATCAAATCCTTACAGAAATGTTCCAACATCTAGTGTAAAGCCTTCCCAGAAGAGTAGAGGCTGTTACTGCAGCAGAGGGGAACAAACTCTGTATTAATACCCTTGATATGAAGAAATGTTGAGCAGGTGTCTACAGTGTATATTACAAGCACACTGCAGTCACAGCATGTATCAGTGTAATTGCTGTAAGTGCAGTCTTGGTGTGTAATGTGTGCTTGTATGTCTTCACTGATGACCCTCACCTACCTGGTTCATTCTTCTGCAGACTTGGCGAATAATGAAATTCAAAAGGCGTTTCAGCTTGGTCGACGAGGGCGAAGACAAAAGGGCTGATGAAAAAGCTGACGAACCGGAGGCCCGAAAGCACGGCACACCTCGGAGGAAGCAGAAAATGAAACGCCGCCCGTGGGACAATGATGTTACGGACAATGAAGACAATGACGATAATGAGGATGAAGACCAGCGTCCCAGGAGGAAAGGGCGACGGGGCAGAGGGAGGAAACGGAGGTACAGTCTCAAACAAGAGGAAGACGAGGAGGGTGGTGAGATGGGCAGGCCTGAGATTGAGGAGGATGGACTGGACGATCCAGAGGAGGTGATGTCAGAAAGAGAACGAATTTAGAGTATTTCTGTTTTCTGAAGGTTGTTTTCTGTGGTGCAAACCTTGCTGAAATATGCCTGACCTGTTGATGCTCTGCCCACAAATGCCTTCTTTTGTAGCAACTGTTGTGACGTAGGACAAAGTTATTACCAGCGTTTTTTTTTCTCTGTCATCTTTGGCATATATATTCACATCAAACCAAAAATAGAAAGCGATAGTTGTTGCCATAAGCTACATCAGTTAAGGTAAGATGCTCTGTGACAGTAGAAACATAGAGGCTGAAATCCTTATGTTCCAACCAAAAATTAGTAACCCACACAAAGCTGCTGGAAAGTTTCTTTATAAAGTATAAAGATTAGACTACAGGACAAAATCTTTCTGTAAGGGTTTTCCAACCTGGCAACAGTATTTATGAAGCAATGCATTTTTAGGCAGAGTATCAGACGATTACAGCTTTATTGGTTGTGCTAATCATCTCTCCTGTTCTCACAGGCCCAGTTTGTGTTATGTGATGATGGCAATAATGTTTTTTACGAGGAGCTCTACCCAAACAGCTACTCACCCAGTGCACAGGTAGACACATGCCCAAAAGCCATTTTTGTTCTTCTAATTACTTTGCAGCCTAAAAATGGCAGAACTCTGTTTTGTGTCAGTAACTTTAAATATGTTTTAAGGACTTAAAGCTCAAGTTTAAGAACCCTTAAGGGGCTTCAATTGCAAATTACTGTAAATCTATCTGTTTGTCACTTGCATACATAAACGTTAACCATCAAGTTAGAAAGATCAGATCTAAGCAGAAATCAGAATTGAGTGGGGAGGCCTGTAATGTGCACATAGCATTTTATTTCTCTGATGAAGGTGGTTATTAAAAATCATATACATTAATATTTGTTCTTTGTATAAATCCCATTCACAGCAATATAATACATGAAAAAAAAACCACAAATGCATTTGGAAGTGGCATTTTAATGTGTTTAGGAATTATTTACTTATAAATTATTTACATATAAACATTAGAACGTAAGGGACCGTGTGTGATTCAGTCATAGCTGTGATATTCTTCACAATAACACACAACCTTGAATGTTCTCTTGCTTTTGTATGATTCCTTCCACCAAAAAGAAAAAAAAATAGTAGCCTTTGGTGTTACAGCCTTAGAACTGTCACAATATCAGGCTCAGCACAGCTTTTCTATATTGTTCAGATTAACCTGAATCCGGTTTTGTTCTAGTCAGTGTATAAAAAGCCCTTCTTGTTTGCTGAATTGTAGGCCTGCCACAGTTATAACATAATCGCAGTTATTTGAAATGATTAATTATTTAAACTGACTACAAGCTTTTTCCATAGTCATTAGATTACACAATAATATTATGCCTCAACAAGCATAATGTGAATTAGATCTGCTGGACTAAGGCAAATAAATGTAAAGAAAAGAAAGCAGTAAATACATTGAGAGACATCATGGGACTTGTAATGTAGTGCTCTAATGCATAGTGTAGCTTTGCTTAAGTCTACACATGAGTAAACTTAGCTGGAAAGCATGATGGCTAATCAGCCAGTTTGGCCAGTTTAGGCTTGTACTTACATGGTTGCATGCGATACACAAGAAAAAGACAATTAAATTGTAAATCACAGCTGTTAATATGACAGTTTATCGTGGCAACGCTACTGAGTTGTATTCTGTTCGTTTCAGGTTATTTGCGGTTTGTTTAGTTGTTTCTCTGTTTGACAGCAGGATGTGAAATTATCTCTGAATAAGATAAATATTGGTGGAATTACCTTACCAGTTTCCTAATGTTAGATGAGCCAGTGAATTGTGTACATCTTCCACATGTGAAGATGTTGATCTGTTTGATGAGTTAAGACGGCTTTAGCACAGTGAACGTTGGTTTTAGTGATAGTATTGCTCATACCCTGAGCCCATTAAACAGGCCATTGTCAGGTCTGTTATCTTACACTGGGAAACAGTAAAACAGTACATACTGTACATTTTTCTTGATGGCATGAAGTCTTACAGTGACGTCACATAAGCCAGATGAATACGAGCTGTGTTTTGTGTATGTGTGTATCTGTGTACACTGTTGGTAGTGGAAACTGTGCAAACTGCTGCTGTTGTGTGCTTTAGAATGGCACTGTGGACATTGTGGAGAGCAGTGGTGCTCAGTCGGGCACCGTGGAGTCCAGCCAGTCTTCTCAGGTGAGCACATTTACCTGACACTCCACATCACCGGTCACTCATTATCGGTTTTGGTATATTAGGGTGAAGAATGTCTTTTCACCTCTCTTCTGTCTGGCTGTGTGTCTGTGTACTGTGTTTTAGGACTGGGTCTGCACTGTGGCAGGCTTTCCTCAGGGTTCCCAGGCGCTGGGGTCTGTAAAGCTGAGCAGCAACGGCCCTGTACAGTTCAGCGATGTTCTGGACAAGCCTGCCCCTCTGCAAGTCTCGAACGTCCTGAGCAGTAACGAGCAACTGAGTGAGGCTTTGAATAGGAGCTGGCTGGATCTGATCCAGGTGGAAACGGCCATGCCACAGGTCATCCCAGCACCACAGTTTGCACCAGAGCCTCCAGATGACACGCCGTCGGTGAGTCTCAGTGTGCTCTGAGTGTCTGCATTAGACCTGATGAGAAGGCTGTACACTCACAAACATACTTGCAAATAGAGATGTCCTGAGGTTATTTTGTCATGTTACTTCCCTTTTCGAGTTTTGTAATGGTGGGAAAGGAAACTGAAAATAATGCCGGTGCTTGCACAAAGAGTATGGCTAACAAATTTTCCCAAGTAAGAACACCTCCTCATTTGTAGCTTACCGCATGAGTACTTGCCATACATCAGTTAGCCACTGTTCAGCACTGTTTGACGGTCAGTAGTCTACAAAAGGAACAAATCAATAATAAAATTGAGTCTATTGCCAATTATTATCCATTTATTGCCAAAAGATGGAAAATAGATTAACCCATTATCTACTTTTTTGCAAAAAAAATGGATGCATGGAAAAATGTTATCTATTTATTATCCGGAAGAATATCTCCAGTCTAAAAGCAACCTGCAAATTTTTTTTCCTCTTCCCCCAAATAAGCCTAAAATGGGTCCTGGACCGGACCCCTTTGTGCTGGTGAAGACCAGTCACGTTCTGTGTGGACCTGCAATATTTAGGGAGGCTAGTAGATAATACTTGTTTGCCATTCTCCTCATTCTTATTCCTGCATAATTAAATGTTAAGATGTGAATAGAGTCATTCAGAGTTTGATTACATTCTGGAAAAACCTAGAGTCAGAATTGTTCACAGTGGTGATGATAGGAACCAGACAAGCGAGGAGTTTAATGCCTTCAAAAGCACCCTTACAGAAAGTTATGAAAATGTTAGAAATATGATGCCTGATGCTGCCTAATTAATGTTAGTTTTGGTGTACAAATTGAATCTGTTCATGGCAGAGAGGTACATGCAGATCTCAAAGAAAACATATTTTATGGATTTACCACTATTTGACCACCGTCAGCATTCCATATAATGTGAACCCTTGTTCCTGTCACCACTGTTGTAAAGAAATCTGGTAGGTAAGTTTCTCTACAATGCATCGTTTCACATCAAATGCTTTACATCATTTCCTAAACACTTTAGCTGGGTGCGCTCATGTTATTCCTCCTAATGAACAGCCAAACGTTCAGCTCTGTCTCCTCATTATACACCACCATCACTGTCATGGTTTATCTGATGAGATTTTATCAACATTAACACTCGAAGGTAGTAAGAGGGGTTGTCATGGTGACTAAACAGATAAGATTTCGAATGTAAGAAGTTTCTGTAATATGGCCACAGGTATGCTTTGTTTGGGGTCTCCACCAGACAAAACAAGTTGCATGAGATTTGTTTTTATTGTTGTTTGTTTTTTGTTTTTTTTTAATAACCTTAAACAATATTTGCTCATGTGACCAACTCTTCGGTTTGGTGTCCTCTGCCCCTCCTGCAGATCACGCAGATCTACAGCCTGGCGGACATTAAAGAGAATGACCCGACCGAGGACCCGGGCCTGCTGGAGCTGCTGAGCTCCCTGCGGCGCACCGTGCTGCCAGCCCACTGGGTGGGTGTGATGGCCAAAGGTCCACTGCTGCAGCTCTTCCAGTGCTCCAAGCTCTCGCCCATGGCTGACACCGTGCTGCAGATCGAGACAGACTTCTACTATCAGATCAACGTCCAGAACCAACCGCTGCTGCTCACGCACCCCATCTACGAGCGCCACCCGCAGCGCCTCACCTCCGTCAGCCTGGTGGTAGCACTGCTGCTGGACCTGGAGGGGCTGACTGTCTGTCAGGGCTACCAGAGCTTCGAGGCAGGGCCACGTCAGGGCCCGCTGCTGTGCGCCCGTGCTGCACTGTGCCAACTGCTCATCCCGCAGGATGATGAGTGCTGTGAGAGGTGTCTGCTACCTGCTGAGGCCTGAGTGCTGAGCAGGATTGGCTTAAGCTCAGGCACTTCGCAGAGGGTCCAAATAGCCAGGACCTGCTCAAAGCAGACTGCTGGTTTATTGTTTTGTAAGTGCAGTAAGAGTACATGATTTGGCACAAAGCTTAGCCTCTTACAGCTTTTTTAAATTCCAGAGGAGTGTTGAAGTATAAGCTATGCCAAAACTCAAGGTAGCAAAGCTTTGTGGCAGTTTGAAAGTTCTCTCCAGCAGTGGTGGCTCCAGGGGGGACAGGTAATACTCATCTCGCTGTAGTCGAGCTTGCAAACCTTTAGAAATATTCCCTGGTGCGATTTGTGCTTCTTGGATGTTTGAGAGATTTTTATTTTTTTATTTATAATTTAAAAAAACAAAAAACAAAAAAAAACAAAAACAAGGTGCAACATGTCTTTCATACCTGTCACTTTGTTAAGTGTTGCTTCTTTAGGTAAGCCTGGAGCTGCTCCTGTTGTTATAATGGTGCTTTCTTTGCCTGGTTGACGGAACTCTCTCTGTAGCAATGCATGTATTTACACGTCCTCCGAATCTCCATCAAGGCTAATCCTGCAGCCTTTGAGGGGACAATCAGTAAGTAAGTTCTTGCTTCCGTCCAACCGGCTGCTTGTTATTTTGTTCTCTCTCATTTGCTCTCAGAAATGTGGAGAGAGAAAGGAAAGTTATTGAAGTTAACTACCTCTCAGTGGTCCCTCGGACCATCGTTCAGTTTCAGCCATCACTGGTGTCCCAAATCAGTCAGCTTTGCTTTGATCATTGCTGCGTATCAGCTCATGTTTAATTGGGATTTCAAAGTAGCGGGTTCTCAATATTTGATTGGTGCAAGTAAGGTTTTATTGGAGTAGTAAGAATATAGATTTATTGTAGAGTTTTTGGGGCTGCTGCTGTCCACAGCTACTACTGTTAAGCCTCAGAATAATGAACGTCAAATTGAAATAATGCAGAATTTGGAACTTGTCTAATTCAGTAAACTGTAGCAGTTTAATCTTTCAACCTCACAACAGTTATATAGTGTTGATATACAGTATGTTCTTTTGTTTTAATTTGCACATTGCAGTACAGTGCTATTTGATACAGGTGCCATAAATCACAGAACCATAAAATATGCTGTTTCCCAAAAAACCCTATGTAATAATAATAGCCTTAAGTAATTATACAGAATAGCATTTTTTTATCAAGTGGGAACGTTGTTACACTGAATAAAGCTTCTTCTTAGCACAGTTTGATGTTTTTTTTTCTGCATGTACCACACTAATTACACCTGGTAATGAACTGCTAAGCTGAATCAGGTGCAGTTGTGCAGGAAAATCAACAAACTGTTCTGAAATCTGGCCCTCCAGGACTTGAGTTCGCCACCCCTGGCTTAAATTAACCAGACTTTATTATGATGTTACTTAGATATAAATGTTGGGTAACTTATTATTATTATTATTATTATTATACATTTGATCTTCTGTGTGCCATAAGAAATGGTCGGGCATTGAAAGAACTTTAAACAGAAGTCTCAGATTTTCTGGATTGTTGGAGAGCATTTTTCAGGATAGTTCTGCCATTGAGATGTAAACAATCATTCAGAGTGGTTTGAGTTGAAATAGTTAATTGTATAGAAGTTTTGGAATAGTTGGATTTCCTTACAGTGGTGGTGATAGAAGGCAGAAGTCACATTTGAGTGCGTTTACATGCACTTAATAATCTGATAGCTGCTGAAAATCAGATTTTGTCAGTTATCTGATCAACGTGTTTACATGCACTTGAGTAATCAGATAATGGGAAAACTCCTGGTCTACATGTGTCAAGCAGTAATCGGATTTCTGTTTTGCAACAAGCCAATAAACTCACAGAAGAAGACGTGACGTAAACGTAACGTAACCTCGAACTTCGTGCCGCGGTTTAAAAAACATCGCTCCGCTTTACCTACAAAATATGAACATGCAGCATCTAGAAAAAAAAGAATATTTAAGTCCTTCATTTTGTCAAGCATGTAATTTGTGTTGTCCCCAAAGCGTTTTGCTGTATCTTGCGGTGACGTTGCTCACTTATTTCTGGTACGGAGGTCTGTTATCCCACATGCGCAGACTGAGAAAACCGAAAGAAATCTGAGTAAACATGCACTGAGAAATCTGATTACTGAGCTAAAATCCATCTCTATTTTTTGGATTTCTTAATCTGATTTCTAGATCGGAGTATGCTGTTTATATGATCACTTGAATAATCAGATAACTGCAGAAATCCGATTATGATTGGATTATTGAGTGCATGTAAACGCATTCATTGTCTTCAACACAATATAGCCATTTTTTTCACTGTCCAAAACCACTAGTGGTGGTAAAACAGTGGTAAATCTGAAAAAACATGTTTTGTTTTGGACTATTCTGCCTTACAACACCCTGCATGTACTGGAAAATATGTTTTGGGCCAAAATCTTATCCAAAAGCAGTGCATCAGGCAGCGTATTCCTAACCATTTCACTGTATTCACTTTGTGATGTAGCTTTTAGGGGCATTAAATGCTTCTGACGTCTGGTTTCTATCATCACCGCCGTAAACAATCCTAACTGCTAGTTTCTCTAGAACGGAGCATTTCCCATCAACCCATTCAGAATGACTTTGTATCTTAACTGAATTATGCAGAAATTTTGAAAATCAGACTGACTGTTTCCCTTTTAAGCCTCCATAAGCTCTTATCCTCATCTTTTGTTTCTGTCCAGCAGGGGTGCTATAGCTCTGAGCCAATGGGTCTCTTACATTTTCCATATGTTTTATTGAAGGAAGGACGGGAGGCTGTGTTGTAGTTAGGAAATATACAAAGGCTTTGTGATGACGTTTTCTGTTTTACTCTTAATCCTCCTCCACACGTGGACAGATGTTCTGCTGGACATCTTAAAAACACTACTTTGGTTGCCTTCGCTACTGAACCGAAGCGGTAATTTACACTGCATGGTTTTTAAACAGCTTTTGTGTCTGGAGCTGCTCACCTCACAAGGTTTCATAAGCAAGTACTTGACTTGCTGTTGGTGCTCAAACAATGCAGGGATGGTTATCTTATTTACATGAGGACATGTGCTATGCTGTTTAGTGTTCAACCTAATCCCTAATCTGCTGCTGCTGTACTATACAGTCGATTACCTCTCCAGCTGGGATTTAAGTTTCTTTTCATAAATACGTTTTTCAATTACAGACCAAAAGTGAGCGTGGTGTAAAACAGTAATGTGAGGTGCTGGACGTGGGTGTGTTTACTGACCTCGATCGCTTCTTTTAATCAAGCGGCTCGGATGTTAATAACATGCAATTTAGACAGCCAGTCAGCAGTCTAGGTTTTGGAACAGACATGTCTATTGGCTCACAGATGCTGGTAAAACTGACTGCTTCGGTATTGGAATTTGGTATTAAGTGACAACTTTTCAGTACTTGGTTGTATTGAAGTAATTCATATGATACAAGTACTGAATTTCAATACCCAGCCTTTATTACCACAGACAATAACATTGATGTACTTGGAAGTATTTCTGTTGTAAGGTGGTTACGAGTCAACCTTTTTTTTTCTGTTCTTTTCTAAGTATGAGGAATTACATGGTAATCGACTGTACGCTACAGATGCAGCAGTTAGAGATTACATTTAAACAAGCGTACATATTACTTCAAACCTCTGTGGCAACCTGTCCAACGACCATCTGAGTCGAGGCAGATCAATTAGGAGTGGGGAAGACCCTAAACTTTACTGTGCATCTGTCCTCTGGGAGTTGACCATTGCTGGTTTTGCCTGCTGTTGTGAAGTATGCCTCAGCACTTGGGAATCTGGGCAAGATTTCTGATTCTACATAACTGTCTCCCATCAAGAGAATAAAACAGGCTTCCATCCAGTCACATTACTAAACTGCTGCTGTTTAAAACCTGTGTCAGGGTAGAAATTGTGTATAACGAGCCTGAAACGGTTTAGTTTTGGGAATCTTAGTTCCCATTGTGTTAATTCACACATGACTTATGGTTTTAAACTGTGTGTTAATGAATGACCAAAAGCATCATGTGATCACTGAGTGCACAAGTTTTAAGATCTATTAATATACATTTTTGTTCATGACCCTGCAAGAAAAGCTCTCACTCGTTATATTACGTTTTACCCATGAATGTTTCCTCTGTTTTATAGCAGTGTATAAGAAAATGGTAAAATACATGTACAAGTTAAGTCAGTCAACATTCTCTTATTTTGGGGACCCCTTTTTTGCTTAGTTATTGTTCTTGGGGATGAATACAAAACAGTGGTAACACACACACATATAGCTGCTGTTAGAACAAAACCTCATCTCCATTTTTGTCATTTTAAAGTTTTTTGAAAATGCCAGTTGCCCTTTATATTGTTTAAATTTCATGATGAATGGTTCCATTGACGTACATTAAAAGTAAAGTATGTTTTTCCTTCTCCTGTAAAGTTACCATTTTGGAGATACAAGGTTTTGTTCCGATAGCAGCGATTTTATATAAGCTTCTGAGATCATTTCAAGAGGTTACAGGGCATGCATGTTGTCATCTTTCATTTCTGATTGTACTGTCGCCTGCTGTGTGTATCGTGTCCTGCTCTACTGCCACTGCCAAAGTCTGTTTTTAGAACATGGGAGGAAGGTGATTTCTACAAAAATGCATTAAATACTTTTGTTTTCTACAAACAGGCTTGTTTGCCTTTTTCATGAGTAGATTTTACCACACCAACTGTTTAGCTTCACTGTTTTCCAGAGCTTTGCAGTTTCTCAACTGTCCACTAGAAGGTGCTATACCCTGTTCAAGATTCTAAATTGAGTTTGTGGTTAAGAAGAACTTTGAGCCAGAGTGATGGGCAGCAACAGCACCAGGTCGAGCCACAGCTCTGGAGGACTTTGGTGTTCAGTTGCAAATATTACTCTAATAGTTGCAAAAACCAGATTTGTGAGAAATTTCAGTCCAAAAAGCACAAATGTTACTTTTTAATTGCTGTAGGCTTTTTAATACAATCTAGCAAATTAAGTTTATTTTGTTTGCATTCACGGTTCTTTTATTTGGTAAAAGACCGCTGTGAACCCACCAGAGCTGGAGGCCAAAACAATGTGGAATGTTAATGACCTAATGGTGCGAAAATTATTTATTACAGATTTATTTCTGATTTATTACTCTGGTGATCAAGCCCAGCCTCATGATTTTTCATGCTCTCAGACATAAACCAAAAGCTGCTGGCTTGTTTGGACCCGCTGTGTTAGATGTGTGCATGAAAAATCTTCCCTATTATAAAGCGGCTGTTTTCCCAGCATGCACAGGGGTGTTTTTGAATGGCCATTCTGCATTCATCCTCTCTGCAGATTTTAATCTGTGTGGATTATGGCGGCTGTTTTAACCCTTCATGTACCAGAGGTGGGGGCAGGGAGGTAAAGTAAAGGTCAAAATCGAGGTCACATGAGGCTGTAGAAAATGTCAAAAGAACATGGTGCACTACATTCACTAATGTGCAGCTTTGTGTATGCTGCTATGGCATATGGGCTGTTTTTGTGGGGGGGGGGTGAAAGGCAAGGTGCTTTATTCTGCAAACAACACATATAAAGAGATGCATGACTGAGTGGAATGATGGGTCAGTAGTTCAGCATGTTCTCTAGCATCTCGAACCACTGTAGGCCAAAATCTGTCTTGGAGGTTTTTGATGGCACCAGTGTTGGATGGTTTGTTGAGGCGGGGGTTGCTGATGCAACGGTGCCTTATTTAGTAAACAACATGGACAAAGATGCATGAATGACAGGAGCATAGATGGCTAGATGTGCTCCAAACAATGAAGACATCTGCTTATCCCATATTTCTTCGGAAATCTGGTATTAATGTGCCCCTTTACTGCAGTTACAGCTCTGCTCTTCTGAGAAGGTTTTACACTAGATGTTAGAACACTGCTGTGAGGATTTGATTGCATGCTACAAGAGCATTAGTAAGGTCAGGTACTGATGTTATTGAAGGTATTGGATGGAGCTCCATCACCCCTCAGTTCCACTGCTCCATATGCCAGTGTTGGGGGAGTTTATATCTCTCTTGCTGAGGCTTGTCACTGGGCATAGTGACCACTCATGTGCAGCTGCTTCAGAGTGTCCCATTCTATTGGTCAGTGCTTTTTTTATGAAGATTATACAAGTATGTGTGTGCTATTGAACAAGAGTGTCTGCAATGGTTGCATAAAAAAATTTTTTATATATATATATAATAAATAAATAAATAAATAAATAACTATCTATGGTGCTGCTCTGGTTCTCTGATCTGCAAGCTTTTGATGGCGCCATTGATGCAGAATGTTGGGGAAAACTACCCTGAGTAAACGTACAGTGCTTTACTGTGTAAACCACCCTTTTAGTGCTAGTTTAGCATATGCTTCCCAACTGTCCATCAGTGCAACAACATATCTTTGTACTATGAACTTTTAATTGCACAAAGCTACAGCAGTCATGTACCATAATCACCGTCACTTTTCCTTATATAGCAGCTTTCCCATGCTCAGTGACACTGTACAATCAAAGAACATGAACACATTAAACAGAAAGTACACAATAACAAAAGGACATCACAGACGTTATATCACCTTCGATCCGTCGAGACATTGTCACGATGCACAATATGCAGCACAGTAGACAAAATCAAACCTGTAAAAATAAATCTACAACTGCAGAACTTTTTATTCAATGTTTTACAAGCTGCACTGCACAAAATCCGATTGAACAGGTCTCAGTAACTAAGACCAGTGGTGCTATCAGAAGCAACACAGAGAACTGCGGCTGCACAGCGATGATGGAGGAGCACATGTTAAACTACTAGACTCCTACCACTCATGCATGTATCAATTTGCATTGTCTATATTCACAGTAAAGACATTTCATCATGCCAGTTCCTCCCAAACCACCCCAAACCCTGCAGAACAGAGAACTGGGCTGACATTGAGATACTCGAACAGCATGCACTAAACTACTAGCAGGTGGGGGGGGTCTTTGCACTAGACAAAGGTAGGCAGCCTCAGCCGCCTAGGGCCCCCATGAGCCAAGGGCCCCGTTAAGATACAGATTAGTGTGTGTTGGGTGTTGACGTTAAATGACTTGTTCCGAAATGTAAATGCAAATTTAAAATGGCTGTTATTTGCTATTGTAGTGATTATTTTCAGTAATAAGGATTATTTTAAGCCCCACCTCCAAAACAGTTATAATGAACTATATCATGATGATCCTGTGTCCCTTAGTTACTGTTGCTATGTGAATCAGATATTCAGCTCAGACTACCTGGCATAAATAAGCGCTTGAAGTAACAAAATTAAAAGTTCGGCAGCACAAAGATTTTAGAAGCACATTTTAGAAGGATATTTTAATTCAAAAACAAACTGGCTTTTAAAGGATATGATGTTCAGTATAAACATATATGTTTAGAACCAGAACAGGCAAAATGTGGATGCTGGTTGAATTAAATTAAAACCAATTCTGGAAACCATGTTTACACTCCTAGAGCACATCTGTACACCTACACACTTAAAAAAGAAAAGATGGTTCTGCAAGGGTTCTTCAGTAGAGGCAATGGTTCTCTAGAACCATGAGTTCTATATAGAACCATATGCATGCTTAAATGGTTCCTTGCATGGTGAAATGGCTCTTCAGATTGATGGAGAATGTGTTGCACATGGTCCTGTACAGCACCAAAAAGGGCTCTGCTATTATTACTAAGCTTAATAGAAGAACCCTTTTTGGTGCTAGATTTAACCATATGCAACACATTCTGCATTATTCTGAAGAACCATTTCACCATGCAAGGGACCATTTAAGCATGCCTATGGTTCTATATAGAACTCTTAGCTCTAAAGAACCCTTGCTGAACCATCTTTAAGTATAAAATGGGTTCTTCTATTGAGCCTGTTATAATAGCAGAACCCATTTTGCTGCTATACCGAACCATATACAACACATTCTCCATCAATCTGAAGAACCATTTCACCATGCAAGGAACCATGTAAGCATGCATATGGTTCTATGTTCTAGAACCACTGGAGGGGGGGGGGTGCAGAAATCACTAAATCACTCCGCTCTTGACCACTAGCTTCCATACACGCATCCCCTCTTTGCACGTGCCGTTATTTTGCACCATGCAAAAAATGTGAACGAGGCGATGGTCGGGGGGCTGAAGCGTGCGCGCGCCCTCACTCACCTGCCTTTTTTGGAAACGCCCTCGAGTCCGCGCTTCTGTTTGCATGCGCCACATGGTCGCTGCGTGCGCACGCGCTGCGGGCTGCGCTCGTTCTGTTGCGTTTTATTCTTCTTTTCGGGTTTTGTTTTGCTTTGTTTTGATTATAGTGCCGGGGCGGTGACGCCGATAGAGCACGTGGCACACGCGTAGTTTTTTTTTGTGTTTTGATTTTTTTCCCGGAGGTCTGGTTGGACTGGTTAAGACGGACTGAAGTGTGATTTCTGTCCGACAGGTTTTCACTCAGTCCGGCGATGACCGTGAGGTGAGCGGGGCGCGCGGGCATCCTCTCAGGAATCCTTATGTTTTTCCTTTCTTCCTCTGAGGAGACAGAGCAATAAGAAGTGACCAAAGATACCGAAGTGGGGACGGTGGACGCAGAACACCGAGGTTCAGGTAACAGCACGCGCCTCGTTTGTGTCCACGGTGAATGGTTGTGCTCTAACTCTTGATGGGTGGAAGTTGGCTTCCCATTCGTCAGCCTCTCGTTGGAATTTTCCCGTTCCACCTTAAATGGTGCAGCAGTTACCCAGCAGTTACAGCGCCGGGATGTAGCTGCTGCACCATTTAAGGTGGAACGGGAAAATTCCAACAAGAAGCTGGCTTCAGCCTCGCGTGCAGCTGTGCGTATTGGGCGTGTTCGTGCACTGATAACTAATAAACACTCGCAGGTCAGCGCTGTTTAGCATGGCTAGCCGCAGTATGGGAACAGATAGCGTGCTTTAAAAGAGCCCGTGCGCCCTAAACAGCGCTAGAATTTGCACGCGCATCCTTCCTTTCCCCCCCTCCTGTGTTTTGGCGCGAACTTCAGGGTTGTTGCTCGTGCTCTCACCCGTCATAACTCGGCTGGACCAGATGCCGCACACACCTCATGTTTTGTCTGGAACAGGGTGGCACCTTTAAGTCGTCAGGCACTCCTAATGTTTTGCGTAACCATAGTTTCCTTTTCCATTCATCTCCACTGAATCCGAAGGCATTTAAAGGAATAGTCTGTGTTCCTCAGACACATTATTTCTAGCTTTCACAGCTTTTAAGAAACGATTTGGGTGTTTTTTTGTGAATTCTGTACTCTGAAAGTAAGGTATAGCCCAAATGTCACCTCGTATTCATTCATTTTCAGATTCAGATGGCCTTAGCAACGCAAACATGAACAGTTCCACGTCATCACGTCCATTGTGTGAGTTAGGGATGAATATTTTAACATATTCAGTACGCTATAAAAGCTGATTTGCAGTCTTAACTTAGATAAGTAACCTGTCTACCTTAGCATTTTAATGTTTAACTTAAACTTTGTAAAGTTAAAATAAAAACGTACAGTGTAAACTTACAGTCTAGGGACGTGCCGATATGGGATTTGTGGGCCGATGCTGATATCCGATATTTTTCATGTGTATGTTTGTCAGTGGCATAAACATTTATACATTTTAGAAATTGGGACTAAATCTGCTGGGATTAGCTTTTGCACAAAATTATACAAATGTACCTTTTAGCTTGATAGCTAGCATTCTAAAAGTCGTTCTCACGTTTGCCCCATGAACACCTGCGGGAGGCTGTGTTCAGACTGCCAGCCCAAATCTGATTTTTGTCATATTCAGATTTTATCCGGATTGTTTTTTGATAGTCTAGACAGCAAAAAACCACATGAAATCCAATTTTTGCAAATCAGATCCAAACCACATTTGGAGGTGCTTTAAAATGTGATTCCAGTTAGATTTTTACAGATGCGTCTCGGTCTGGATGCTCTGGCCGCTCAAATCGGATTTGAAAGTGTTTTTTCCGTCACTTGCAACACGACAAACAATGACAATGTCAAATCCAGAGTTACGGAAGTGCCTGGGATTCAAGAAGAGAGAATCATATGCTGCGCTTTTAAGTTCTTCATAAAATGATATTATATAAAATGATATATGGTCTGTTTAAAATAAATTCCAGTTGGTTTGTTTCCTGATACAATGAACTTAAACCCCCAGGGAACCTAAGCATGTGTTTTCTTTTTAAGCAGGTTAATTCTGTTCTTGAAGTCACACAATATACATCTACAAAGTATGTAAATGACTGGGAATAACTTTCCAATGCCTGATAAATGGCTCATATTTCCCAAAATGCTCCCCTTTCGGTGTAAACTGGCTGTTCCTATTATTAATTAGCACTTATATAAGCAACATCCTCACAAACCACAAGGCTGATGTGGTTTGTCCTTTGAGCACAGCTTGAACAAAACTGTGTTCCCCTATTTGGTCTCTCATTGAGTAAAAGCTAACAACCAAGCGAAAGCTAACCTATTAAGTATACCAATGTAGAGGTCCACCTTTTTGTTAGCCCCCTTGTTCATTCCATGGATACACATCCTGCAGTAAAGTGAATAAGAGCCTTACTTTCTTTAAGACGTCACTGAATGAAAGATGGATAATGTTTTTAGTGAGCGGACACAGTGAGGAGAGTCTACAACACCTCCTGTGTATATTTAGAGCACGTTTCACTCTTTTCTTCCCATTTTACTCGCGCTGGTGTGTTCTGCTTCAGTGCCGTAGCAGGCTGGGAGTGTTGAGGGAGTGTAAAGTGTTGAGATGTCAATCACACAAGCTCATTAGAATATGAGGCCTCGCCCAGGCAGTTCTCAGGTAGGCCTCGAATATTAGTTTTTAAACCTTTTTTTTAATTGCTGTCTTGTTATTTAAACTTAGATGGATGTGTAACACTCAATTTTAGTATCATATGAACATTTGTAATATTTTTTACTGCATCCTGGGACTTTAATACATTATAAGGATGGCACAAATGTCCTAATTGGGCTACTGTATCTTACTTTAGAGCAGGGGTGTCAAACTCAACCACATTAAGGGCCGTATTAAAAAATCTCAGCAAATCCGTGGGCCAGCTGTGTTTGTGTTTCATTTTTGCTTAACATTTTGCCAGGACCAGAACGAGCCACTGTTTATTTAAAATATGCCAAAACAGCAGAACAGCTAAATAAAAAGTAAATTGTTTTAGGTAGTTTTTTAAAACGTTTTGCTTACATTTGCTTGAACTAGACACCAGGCATCTTTTCTTTTTGCGTAACCGCTGGCCCATAGATTGTTGTGGGGCAAGGGGGTCAGAACGTGTACTATGTTGCAGTGCATGCTGGGAACTGTAGTGCATCTCATGGTGAAACAGGCTAATGTGAAGAGAACATTGAAATAATTTCGCGGGCCGAATAGGTTTGTGTCACGGGCCTGACGTGGCCCGCAGGCCTTGTGTTTGACACGTGCTTTAGAAGAATACTTTTAGCTAAAATCACAGTTTGTTGGACTGTTCCTTTAACACCATGTCTTCACCGTTTTATTTATCTTCCACAAATACTGCTTATTTCATTTCTTCTTTGTAACTATTGATGGCCTTTGGAGTTTCAGGTTTCTGTAAACCCTGTTTTTTCTCTGTTTGAGAACATTGCTTGGTTCTCTCTCTCTCTCACTCCGTGTTCTGTCTAAACTGTCTCCAGCGTGTCTCTAACATTATCGTGTAAATACTCTGATATGGCTGTAAGAAGTGCATGGCATTAAGACTTTCTCTGACTCTGTTTGACTCTAGGGCAGGGAATCTTCGGCCATTATCCTCTTTACACATCATAACTTAGAGCGTAATCGCAGGATTACGCTGGCAGAGAGAGAGAAATAGAGGATGGTTCTTCTGCAGTGAGAACTGGGTCAGACTTTTCTGAGGTGAAAAGGGCTTGTAACTGTAATTCTTCTTAAAGAGAAGGTGCCTCACTAACCCAGCTAGCCTTCAGAGAACACGTGTGACCACTCCTGCGTCGGGGTGGGGACTGGAAGATGGTCATTATGGGCAAATTTGTAGGCGAGGTCCATTTTGAAGCCTTGAAGAGTCTTCTTCATCTCTTTTTTTAGCTGGGCTGTGGTGGCTGTGCTGTATGATATGGTTAAAGGGTGGGAACAGATATATTTTTGGAGGTCTTGAGTTACTAGTAAGTAGAGATGGGATGTGGGAGATGAGATTATTGCTAATAATATGGCTCAGAGCATGTAGGGCTTGGTTTTGATTGAGGCTGTATAATGTAATATATTATGATAGTGCAAAAAAGGTCATGATATGCAAATGAATCATGTAATAAATCACAGAGATATCCATTATGTGCTGTGTAGCACAATGACCGATTGACAGATGATCCCGGCCTTGAGTATTTTAATGGATCACAGCCATTCATAACGCCTGATAAGCAGCAAGTCTGTGACAAAATTAGTTTAACCTTTACATATGACCATGTATGACCATGTATGACCATATATCGTAAGATGAGTTCTGTCATGTTATTGATATTGGAGATGGCTCATTTTCACTCGTTCTTTTTCCAATATCAACACTGAAACCTTAAGTGTACTTATACTTAGTGTATACTTGTTGAAAATCTTACTCAGGTACATGTTTTGTCATAACCATTATAACAGGTATGCCACAAATAAGCACAGATACCACAACATACAAACAGTGTAAACTGCGCTAACGCTAACCTTGCTAAACCTAGTTAACCCACCTGGATGGCTGAATCGGTGATATCTCAGTCACATTTCAAGTGAAAATGAAAAATATCCAGTCTTTTGGGGTTAGCCGTAGCCTAGCTTAGCTTAGCTTAGCCTAAAATGGACCAGAACACTTCCTCTCATACTGCCTGAGGAGCCATCTGACTGGGTCAGGAAACGCTGCAGTCTTGGAGCTTGTTCGCGAAACAAACCGTAATATTTTCCAAATTTGATGAAGCTGAAGTTGGCTTCTTATATGAAATTTTCAGTCCACCTTAAACAGAGCAGAAGTTGCATTTGCACGCCTATACAGGTCTGTTTAAGGTGGAATGGAAAATTTGAACAAAAAGCTGGTAAATAATAGTAGAAATTTAAGTGAAACAACATTTAGCACTATTTTTGCCAGGCCTGCAGGGTTAGTAGTGTTAGTGTAGTGTTAGAAAGCAGTAATGACACACGTTCATCTGTATACTGTTCAGCTTTGTTTTTAACTATTTTGCACTATAAATATAGTTCAGATTCACTTTGATTTTTAGAATGGTCTTCTTGAATAGTGAAGGGGTATAATAAAGGTAAAAGTAATAAAAAGGGAACTGTTAAGTTAAGTAGATTTACTTAAGAATCTAAAACTGTTCTGTTTGAATATATATATATATATATATATATATATATATATATATATATACCATGATCTATACCAAAGAAACTTTAAAAGTACCATAATAGTGAATTTTTAGCCATACTGCTCACTACCACCTATGCTGATGCCTCAGAAATACACCACCAACATGACTTTTTTTTTAATGAAAAGGAATTTCTTTAAGGAATTTTACAGACGATTGTCAGTCAGTGTTGTTTGATGTGAAGTAGTGCATTGTC